ATGATTATTTTATTCCTGCCTTGGGGAGGCATGTCGGCAGTGCACACAGAGACGCTAAATCAATGCAACGCTTGTGTGAGTCGCGCCAACATAGCTTGATGGTGCGCAGGGGATGGAGTGGAAATGAGGGAGCACAAGGAGTCGCCTGAGGGCATCAGTATTCGACGCTTTATGCATACCTTATTTCTCGTAGCTTTCCATGCGGACACACCAGCAAGGAAGGCTCTGCTGAAGTCTAGCGCTGTGGCAGCCTACATGGGATGCTGCTGGTGCCTCTTCCAGTCCACAAGGTGCTGTTCCTGCTTAGGCCCTCATGAATTGTGACCAGCATGCAACAAGGCACTGAATGAAAGCTTTTTTGTCACATTAATCGTACATTTGTGGATAATGAGCAGACGTGTTGCCTTGCTCCCCTGCGTGAGTCTGCGTGTGCTACAGGGTCAATCGGGGCATGTATCCTCTGGGATACTCCACTCCAGAGGAGCAGACGCTGCTGCACAAGGCAATGGATCCGCCTGTACCGCCACCGCGCAAGTACATGTTCGACAACAGCTTGAAGCTCTCTCATGACCAGCAGATGTTCATTTGCAAGGAGGTGGCAGAAGGCCGCTTTTCAGTGAAGAAAGCTGGCCGCAGCGGCACTTGCAGCATTCTAGAGAAGCTCTCATACCTGGACTACAACAACATCTTCCTGATGCCCGTTGCGCATGGCCTCTTGAATGGGCTTGTGAAGGATTTCTTCAACACCGTCTTGCAGAAGGTGCGGTGCACCTCTCAAACGTGAAGAGTCAGAATTTGTTGGGGCGGCCTACCTTGGCTGCTGTCACTAAAGCAAGCATATCTTCTAAGAAGCAGCATTTGCCTTCGGCCAGTCCTTTGACATCATGCATGCCTTGCTTAAATGTCAATAAAGCACTAACATTGCTTAAATGTCAAAAAGGCAGTAACAGTCTCTTTTAAGAGCATCTTGCACATGTGCATGTGACCTTGCACAGGTGCTTGAACATGGGTGGGTTGTCAATGTGACAGGGAAAGAAGACTGAGGAAGCCCATTGGTACATGGTGAGCGACGAAGCAAAGGCGATCCTGGCGCAGAGGGGCCGCGAGATTCAGGTCACTTCTGAGTTTGGGCGGGCATACAAGTGTGTCGTCACTCAGCGTGGCAACTATACTATGGAAGATTACTTGGTTTTCACAGAGACCTTCAGCCCCATTCTGTTGAGGCACGACGACATCCTTCATCCACAGGTGATTGTCTCAGCTCATAAGCCGATTTCATTGTGCATCTGTTTTGCAGCTTTTGCCAGTCCATGACTAACATGTGCCTAATAATGCGGTGGCGATTCCTACTTCCGGCTGTGGTGTCATGTCATGCATTCAGCAGCTGATGCCCAGCAACTAACCGCTAGGTCGTCCCCAGGTGGCAGAGATGTGGGAGCTGCTGCGGAGTGCGGTGCTGCACTACATGCGCGCGGACACTCCGGAGGCCTTCACGCTGGAGAAGCGCCATCAAGCCCGTGACAATTTGCTGGCGTACGCGAGGCTCCTACAAGGACCGCCGCCGACAGAAGTGGAGGCCGATGCGGATGGAGAAGCCGCCTCACCGGTGCTGGTGAGACATGGCCCTCTTGGTTTTGAAAGGCATTCTTGCATGCTGATGGGACAGGGACGAGGAATCAAGAAGCTGGGTGAAGATTCGACTTTTGAGGTGACATGCGGTACACTGGATGGAGCCTGCTATGACACTCACCGTATCGATGCAAAGTGTGTATGCATGGAAGAAGAAGGACACATTATTTTATTCCCACAAAAAAGCTGCCCTCATCATGCAAGCTGTTTTTCGCAGAGGATGCCAGCGAGCATGTGTACCCCCAACCTGCACATGCTACTGTGCCGCCTGTTCGAGCAAGAGACCGCGCACGGCTGCGTGGCGCGCAACCTGGAGCTCTGGGTGGAGCGCAACATTCAGTACCTGAAGGCCAACCTGAAGTTCCGCATCACCAGCTGTCCCGAGCGGCTCTTCGTGAGTGACTACCTCATGGACCTGGCATTGGACAAATGGGCACGCGACCCTGAGATGCTCTCCTTCGACGACTGGTGCCCCTCGTACAGGTGAGGGTGCACATGAAGGTCTCATACAACATTCATAAGTTGCAGTCGCCGGTGCATGCCCTGTGGGATCTGCAGGAGTTTTGCTCAATGGCCAATTTGTTTGCAGACTTTCCTTCGCTGCCACCGGTGCATGCAAGGAGCCAGTGGGATCTGCAGGGTCTTTCCCAATGCTCACCTGTTTGCAGATTTTTCTGCGCTGTCACCGGTGCATGCAGAGAGCCAGTGGGATCTGCAGGGTCTTTCCCAATGCTCACCTGTTTGCAGTATTTTTCTGCGCTGTCACCGGTGCATGCAGAGAGCCCGTGGGATCTGCAGAAGTATTTCCCAATGCTCAATTACTCCCAGGATTTTATGCACTGTGACCGGTGCATGCAGACAGCCGTTGGGATCTACAGGGTCTTTCCCAATGCTCACCTGTTTGCAGTATTTTTCTGCGCTGTCACCGGTGCATGCAGAGAGCCCGTGGGATCTGCAGAAGTATTTCCCAATGCTCAATTACTCCCAGGATTTTATGCACTGTGACCGGTGCATGCAGACAGCCGTTGGGATCTACAGGAGTCTATCCCACTGCTCACTAGTTTGCAAAATTTTTGCACAGCCACCGGTGCATGCAGAGAGCGAATGGGATCTGCAAGTGTGTCTTTCAATGCTCAGGTACTTACAGAAATTTCTGCACTGCCACCGGTGCATGTAGAGGGCCTGTGGGATCCGCAAGAGTCTTTTCCAATGGCCATGTGTTCGCAGACTTGTGCTCCGGGGCTGGTGTCCAATGGTGTCCAGAAAAAATGTTCATTTGCCTGAGCAAGCTCTCTGCGCTCAATGTACAGGAGTCTTCCGTTGAGGGGCAATGAGGAGGACATTGACAACGAGGGGGATGAGGACAATCGGCAACTGATCGGCGTGGGGAAGAAAATTCAGCGGCACCGGCAAGCAGCCATGTATGATGTGGCACGCAGCTTTGTGAGGAGACTCCACCCGGAGGGATGGAGCGTGGCCGCCATCAGCCCCACTTGCGACAATCTGCGCACTTACTTCCAGGCTGACATTCCTGGTGTGGGCTCGGTGAACTCTGTGGGCTACTCACGTGCGAGGAGCAGGATCTCCTACTATGTGCTGTACAGCATTGTCACAGGCAGGGGAGCCGATGAGAGGGCAGAACTGCACGTGGCAAAAGTGAAGAGCTTCTTGAGGCTCAAGCCCACAGAAGACCAGCCAGGCGCGGGCACACTGCGCTTGGCTGTTTGCGATGTGTTCCGACCTCTGCAGTCCTTGAAGGACGGGTCTGTGTGGGTCATCAGCAAGGCGGGGGCTCTCATGCATGAAAATTATGCTCTGAGGTTGAGTGGGATTGCTGCCCTGCTTGTCACTGCAGAGCCAAAGAGGCCGCGCGCCACCCCGGGCAGGCCCACCAAGCGGTATTACTGCCCGGAGGACGAGGGCAGGGTGTTTTTGACTACCTTCGGAAACGTGTCCAAGCTGAAGTAGGGTGACCTTTGGGTACGAGTGGCCGTTGACTGCCTCATGCTGGTTGGGCCCTGGCAGCGCACAGCTAGTGGGACATGTTGCACAAGCATGCCTGCCTGCATGGTGTAGCTGCACGTACGCTAGTGCGACTGTGACAGATCATTGCCATCAATTTTATTTTGTTGCACTGGTATCACTGCTCTGTGTATGTGTTGATTGCTTTCTGGCCGTGTGAAGGGTGTCTGTGATTGTAATGATTATACACACACTTTGAGACTCTGTCTGCTTTATTCTTGCACAAGTCCAAGATCCAGAATGAGGTCCATATTGCTGATCTGGGGCAGCAAAGTTCTGGGCACTTCTCATCTTCCAATAGGCCACCAGCAACAATCACCAGAAAGCATACCAAAACAACATACCATGACACCCCTCAAGATGCCAGCAATACTTCCACCAAAAGTCTCCACCAACTGTTTCACCCAACCTGCCCCCAAGAACATCCGAACAGCACCCACCAACGCACCCCTCAATCAACTCCCAGAGTTGGTGGGTGTCCAGGCAGTTGGTGGGCACTTGAGGGCAGCTGGGCCCAGTTGGTGGGAAATCTCGTTCTCAGAGTGGTGTAGGCTTGAAGCCAGGCTTCAGTTTTGTAGGATAGGCCTAGGTAGCCATAGGTGCTAGATAGATGCCTGCTCGTATTGAAATTGAACAACATATTTGCTATATAGCAATATTCTTACACAAGTTGCGCAGCTGCAGTCAATTGACATTCTGCCGAGCTGGCAAGTTTGCCATTGCTAGGACAGCTGAGTTGCCCTGAGTTGCAATTGATAAAGCACATGCTACTGGCATTCGTGCAACAATGCATTAATCTATTCCCAGTACAATGGGGCAGCACCATGCATGGACATAATTTTATTGGAGCTGACCGCGTAAAGTAATGTCAGCTCCAAGATAAATACAAGACAGGACTCTCTTCGCATCTGAACTGCTCAACTATTTGCTTTCACTCACTGGATGACTTTATCGTATTCAGATCCGTTCTAATGACGCTTACCTGCAGAATCTGCAGGCCTAAATTCTATGTCACACATGCAGGCTGCAACGCTGCGCAACGTTGTTAACTGCGCTGTAAGAGGAGGTCATCATCACCATCCAAACCATCTTCCGGCGTGATTTCATGTTGCCTCTATTGTCTCACGCTGGTAGCAGACAACGCTGCCGGTCAATGTCAAGAAGGTTGTGCAAGCATGTTCACAAGCAAGCATGACAGATGCTGAAAAGCAATGGTCAACAACAAAGGATGCAAGCTTTTATAGGCCCCGCATGCTTAAAACGAAAATTCAAATTGATCAGAAAGCCTAGGCCTAACATCGTGAGCAGCTCTGACATGCCCTCGATTGCCAATTGCCCTCGATTTGCAAATTATTTACAGATATGACCCGATGCATTTGCATTCCCCGCCAACGGTTGGCAGGGATTGTGGTGCTACCAAGGACAGTAATGCGGCTCAACGTACAGCGAGGTCCTTTGACCTGCACTGAAAGTACGTCACCCAAATGACTCTATCTTGCTGCACATTTGTTACACTCACCCTCATCCCTGGAAACTGAGGCTGCACAACAGAAGCCTCGCACTAGTCATCTGAGGCTCTCAGAGCAGCACGGTCACAAGCCAGAAGTGCATGCCCTGGCATCAACCCAGCTACGGCGCAACAAACATCAAGACACCCTTCAAGGCATATTCCCACGCCTGCACCACCGCCGAGCTCCGCAGAGAGCCCCTGATGACGCCACACAATGCGCTATCGAGCCACTGAGGCAGCCGCAGCATATGGGTTCGCAACCCGGGGCCCGGCCGCCGCCGCAGCCGCCATGGTGTCGGCCAGGGGCGTGGGTTCAAAGGCCGTTTTGCGGCGCTGCTGCCGTTCGCGGCGCTCGCGGCGGTCGGCCGCCTGAAAGACCTGGCGGAGCGTGCTCATCTGGTCCTCGTGCGACACCGGCACCTTGTCATGGTCCGCGCGCGCGTCCGGAAACAGCTCCCCCCTGCACCGCGCCTGCAGACACAAAAACCCACCACAATTATGTTACCAATCGACGCAGCAGTTCATGACCAGCGCTGCTGGAACAGTCTGGATCTTGTTGCTGCCAGACCAGCAGCGGTGCTGAGCGATGTATTGGGTCCTGCTGTGTCAGGCAGGGCAGAGACAGGCCATTGCATGCAGGCATGGAGATTTCTGGCTTGATTGGTGAGTGAAGGACGGGCGCACCCCAAGAATAGGACAGAGGTACTGGGTGCGGAAGTAAATGCAAGCGCACATGCATGGTTGAGGCGACACTTGGGTGAGAAGTCGCACCGTGTCGTTGAGGCGGGATTTGTGGCAGAACTGGCGGTAGGCTCTGGAGTTGACCAGCATCTCGCCGCGGGTGGCGGAGGAGCGGTGCGCGATGACCTTGGGGTTCAGGTTTACGTTGCCCTTGTTGAAAGTCGTCAGCGCCGAACCTGTGCGGAACACAAACCTGCTAAGCACCAACAAAATATTCCAGGACCCTGATTGACATACAGCTGCATTAAAACCACAAAGGCTTTGCAACATTGGGATCCATTGTGAGAGACCCTGCTCTTGAGGAAGGATGCGGCCAGCTGCCAAGACCGCTGAAAGAGCAGCGGATGAACTGTTTTAGAGTGGGGTTGCAAGATTCTCAGAGACAAGAACATGTATGAAAGTGTGCTCGGGCAATAAAAAGGCAGGGGGTCAAAACTTTGCAAGGCTCCATCAACAACAGCTGCAAGCTCATATGATCGGCAAGTGGAGAAGAATCCTGGACAGCTGACACTAAGGGAGGCTCGCACCGGTGTGGTAGAGGGTGGCGGAGTCGGCGAGGTGCGCAAGGGGCTCCCAGTTCTCGGAGAAGAGGCGGTGCGAGCGCAGCTGGGAGCTGATGGGCACGGAGCGCCCCGTGCGCAGCTTGCGCCACACGCCGCGCGCCACCGCCAGGCCCGGGTCACACGTCACCCCCACCAGCTCTATCCGGTACGGCCGCTTGCACTCCTCCGACGGCGTGCTATCATCCCGGTCCCAATACCTGTGCATTGCTGGTATTGTAATTACTACACGCCTTTCCTGCCAACAGGCAAGGTCAATTCCTGCAGACAAGCTGCAATTAAAGCCACAATCCTACCCCTTGTTGGACTCGCCAGATCCAAGTAAGACCCAACCGACCGTGGGCTTGGTGCTCAGTGTTTGTAACCCCAGCAGGCAGCCGGAGCCCGGTCAGGCCTGGTCATGCCGGTATTTCAGTCTCAATTGAGAAACGAACATGCTCCCAACACTATACAGACAGAAGGATACTCACCACACGTCTGCAAGGCTGCACATGTCTGTTGAATATACGGTGGGAGGCCCAACCCTTAGGGCATGCACATGCACCGGCTTTGTTGAGCAGCTCCAAAGTAAAACGTGGAGGGGGAGGCTGACCTCTCCACAGTGTCGCCGTGCTCGTTGGTGAAGTAGCCGGGCCCCCTCCGGTAGTTGTGCTGGTGGTCCCTCACCATCGCTATCGTCTGCTCCACGAAGGGCGCCCACGTCATGGTGCCGTCAAACACGATGTCCTTCTGCTTGTTCACTGCTCCAACCACACAAACGCACATCACGCCAGGCACAAACTTACCTTGAAATACATGCATGAAGATTCTACAAGTTGCACGCTCAACAGGGCAGCAATTCTGATGTCAGGACAGACTGATTAGCTCGAACTCCGGCAGCTGCTTCTCTCGAGTATAGAACAACTGAAAAGGCATCTGGCTACTGATGGCATGATGAGGCTAGCTGAACATGCATCAATGGCTGGTATTTCACGTACATAAATGGGCAAGAGATGGGCAGGAGCAAGGAGCTCACCTGCAGCGACCAGCATAGCCTCGGCCGCCTTGGTGGAGTACTCGTGGACGTAGCTGGACAGCGTGGGGTCGTTCTTGGTGAAGTCCGAGGACGACAGGTGCTTCAGCATCACGTCCCGATTCTTAATGGCGTCCGCCTCGATAACCACCGCATCCTTGCACACCTGCCAGCATTGCGCACATACAATCCCTCAGCTTTCTGAGCAGTTCCATGCTTGGAAAGAATGAATAGATAGAAAAGTGCATGCACGTTTAAATCAATGCATACATGCATGACTCCAGCGTCTGGTGGCTAGGTGCAAAAGAGCCCCATGCACCACATGAAATAAGGGTCATGCCATGCATCTTGCCGTGGGCACATGCATGTCTAAGCTAGCAATAGCTCCTATTGCAGTGCTGCCTGCAGGAATTGTCTAACAGCGCTGATTGCTGCTGCACGGTAGGCTACCTTGGACCAGAAGTCGTCGTGGCCGATGATTTCGCGCACGGTGCTCTTGCCGGCCGCCATGCCGCCGCCCAGCAGCAGGAGCACGGGGCCGCGCTCCTGCGTCTCGCTGCGGCCGCTGCCCGACCGATTCAGCTCCGAGAAGATCTCGTACAGCGTCTGGAACCTGCGGGAACACCAGCTGCACACTTCAGCAGTGTAAGAAACCTCTTTTGGCGACACATGGCGCTTGGAAGATGCCTTGCACAGAGGTGTAGGGCCTTTCAGTCAAATGCACCTGGTCAGACTTGAGGACGCTTGTACAGGTGTCCTGTGGAGTTTGCACAAGACCCTGAAGATTCCCCAGGTGCATGTGACACTCTAAGACAACACTTGACTGCTGCTGCTGCCAGCGATTGCATCAACATGCCTGCCCTACACTGGGCAGACATTGGGCTGGGCATGCTTTTGCTACACAGCTTCAAACGGGCATCGTTTTCGCAGTTGTGGGTTCAGTCTGTCAGTCAAAATTGGAGGGGCCGATTGGCTCACTTGCGCTGCACGCCCAGCATGTCCTCGGTGATCTTCTTGGTGACCGCGTATTTGGCGCGCCGCCAGTTCTTGACAGCGCGCACGTGGCTGCGCGCATTCCGCACAGCCTCCGACGTCTTCTGCGGAGCCTCGCTCTTTGCCGCCACCGAGCCGTGCATGCTGCCATTCGTGCTCTGCGTCCGCTTCGCCGCCAAGTACTCCTCAAACGTCTCCATCTGCCACAGGCAGCAGGTGTCAGATGGGTACTAACTTCAAATTTTGCGCGGCTGTTCTGGCATGATTACCTGACCCCGTTGTTCTCGAGTGTCCCTATGCCCGAGCCAGGCATGTCATTCTTATCGGGCGCCTTCATACATAGCCAGTCAAGCTTGCACCTTAGGGTCCAGGGGTTTACATAGAAACTTGGCCACATGCACCCTAGACTAGATTCCCAATTACATAAAAGTATATACTCGAGGTTGGAAAGAAATTGTTGGGTCAGTGTTCAGGGGCGATGTGGTCAAGAGGAGCTCAGAGGGTGACAAATTGATTAGTCACCTCAAAGCCGGCGGGAAGGCTGCCATTTGTGCTGGTGGGGCTGTGCACGGACCCCTCGTCCTGCTCCGACTGCGTGTGCGAGCCAAAGAATGCGCTGGAGCTGCTGGCTGTTGGAGACGCGCCCAAAGAATTCGAAGACCCATGAATACTCTGCGCAGCAATGCCTTGATCTATCAGAGCCCACTGTTCAAAGGAAGACGGTCCACACACTACATGCATGTCAGCAAGCATGCAGCTGCAAAAAGAGTATTGCAAGCCAGGCCGAAGTTATGAGCAGAGGGATGGCACTGCATGTAGAAACAGGGTGCCTCACTTGCATGCTGGAATGTGAGTTCCAGAGACACTTGAGACCATCCGCGCTGAGGTACAGGGCGTTGGCATCATATATGTCGTCCAGTCGGTCCCAATTGAAGCTCAGATACTCGTGGAGTATGCACTCTATCTCATGCATCAGGAAGCCCACAACCTGCACGCATCAACAATCAGTTTGTTGCCAACTGCAAAGCAAGGGAACAGGTGTAAAAGTCCATGCTGGCACCCGGGTCATCTCAGTCATTCGCTGAGCTTACCTCTTTGACAGCGCAGACCTCCTTTGAGGCAGCAGGCGCCGAGAGGTTGCCATTCTGTGAGGACCCAGTGTTTTGGCACTCTGCCAGTGCGTCTTTGAGCGCCAGCCCTGCAGTTCAAAAATCAGTCAGCTACAGCTTTCCTAGGATCTGATAGCAAAGCTATCACAGGCATATCTAGAGGCGACAGCCCATGCAATTCCGCCTGACCTGTGTTTGTGAGTTCTCTTCTCACAGGCGATGTCTCCCGGCTGCGAGCAAACAGCCGTTCCAAGCGCACAATGCTGAACAGAAGGTCGTTGAGACCAAAGGCCTGTATGCACTGGCAGATCGCGTGCGCGTCCGCCCTCAGGAAATATGCAGACATTGTCTTCAGGGCCTCAAAGATCTCCCCATTTTCCTGCGGCACACAAAGGACCTCAACGCATTGGTTCAACCCCATAGGGGACGTGCTCAAGTTTCGTCGTTGGCTTTCCTTTCATTGCAAGCACAATTCCCACAGTGGAGGACTCGGGATGGCCTTGTGGCTCACCGGGTTGTCTGGCGCAGTGTCCAGGAAGCGGCAGGCGCAATAGGTTGGGAAGTCGAGCACCTCAGGGCTGCCATAGGGGCTGCCAAAAGACACTTGCTCCCCAAATACCTGCAGCGCATCAGATGCAGGCAAGTATTCAGTGCCTTCCTAATATCTCATGTCACTGTGGGGCTCAAGAGATATCAAGAACAGCTGTGCGGCACTCCCTGGATTCAAGTAATTGGCACCTGCTCAGGCAAGTTGATGTCTGATGGGATGAGGCTCGGGATTGAGTCCAAGGTGCTCCTGGGAGTCCCCTTCTGGGATGCTACGCGAGCTGGCGTCTTGACATCCTCCTGAGATCGCTCAGCTGCCTCCTGATTGGCAGCACTGCTGGGAGGCTCTTGCGCATCCTCGAGCTCAGAGAACGGGCTCCGTTCAGACGTGGATGCAGCTGCATGGCTTTGCCTGCGGACCTCTGTACCCTCTTCAGCCTCAGCAGTCCTCTGATCGTGTTTCCGAGCCCTGTTGACATATCCTCAGGCAGTTAGTGGTGTTACTGTTTGCATGACACGTGAAGGGACAGACGTAATTTCGGTAGTCCGATGACCTTCAAAACTAGCTAAGGATGGTGCCATCCATTACCATTTTTATCTTAATTCCGCTCGCCTGTCTGACAAGAACGCAACCCAAGAGACATTCATCACTTTGTAAAAAGCTATATATCAATTGCAACCTAAGCAATGCTTGATAAAGTCCACTCAGGTCCAGTTCTGCCTATCCACGGACTGCACAGTCACGTCTTGGATACGCAAATTTTCGGACCCTCTAAAACCCACTCGCAGAGCGGCTTAAAAGCTATTGCAATGAGCATGGGAATCGAAGTATTCAATGCAATATTTCGGAGCTGAAACGGCACTGGCATGCTTGTTCATGGAGGGGTATATTCACAACTACAGTGTCGAGACTGTACCTTCCCAGCAGTTCCCTAGCTGCAAGTCCGGCGCCAAAAGAAATTAAAAGGGGCACAATTGTGCAACCTTGTCCGCCAGAGCCCATGGGGAGCTGTCTAGTACAAACAGCAGGTGCAGCAGATCCTTCTGTCTCGTCACACACTTCCTACCGAAACAAATACATCCCTGATTATTATTGCGAACGAGTAAACTGACTCTTTCTCAAGTTCCAATGACTTGTTGGTATGAAAGCGATCTCCTCTCGAAACTGGGACATTACGAGCGCTGGGTGTAACCTAGTGGTCCACCTAGCTAGTATTCATTGATAGGTAGTGGGGCACTCAGAGTTGGGCTGGGCAGGCACTATCCATCCATATTACTATGCTGAAGGTTACAAGTACTTACTCACTCCCAACACTCCAATGCTTCTTTGGAGGACCGCACAGCATCAGTGCCCTGCACTCTTCCGGGTGGGGCCCGCCGGGGTCTGTTTCAACTAACTTGCAAATATTCATAGCTGCGGGTCAGGCATATATCAATCTTTGCATCTTATTATGCATGCAGCACATTGGAAACATCCGTTCTCGCTAACCAACTATCATGCTGACAATTTTGGCTGTCCTACATGCATGCACACCTCATGTAAATGCACACTACAACACATCAAGTTTGGAGTTGAGGTGTTCTCTTCCAGCAGATGCAGAAAATATAGACAAAAACCGCGCTTTACGTTCACGGCACGTAATACTTGAGGCACACAGGACTACTAGTTAGTAACCCGTCCCTTATTGAGGCTAGCCAACATGCCAGCTGACATTGGTGATCCCCTTAAGAGAGAGTGAACAAGCTCAAGATTCTGCCAGCATCTTGCGACCATTGGTCCCGGCAACGGCCCTTGCGTCTGCAATTGCATTGGAGTTTGCACCGATGGAGGAGGCCTGTGCCTTGGCAGATGCTGTCGCTGTGGAGCTGCTCCCCTGGAGGCACTGCACCACATAACAAGGTAGAGTTCAAAGCTTGTTCTTATTACCAACATTACACGCCTTTCCTATCACAGGTAAGGTGTGTCAGTGTGCCAGCTGCATGTACAGGCTGCCATATATCCAACCACTTGATGATCACTCTTAGCGCAGGGCAACAGGAAGCAAGCCGCACAGAAGACCACTAGAAAACAGGATGGAAGGGTCCCATCTTATGCGAGAGTGAATGCTCATCCGGGATTTGCATGTGTAAGCACAGTTCAGTGTGGGAAAACAACGCTAGAGACATACCTGCTGCACGGCACTAGAAGAGGCAATTGCCTGAGCGAAAGCTGCTCCTGCTCCCGCCTGAGCCTGTGCCTGAGCTGATGCAGCTGCAGCACCAAACCAAGAGCTTTCAGAGCATGCTTGCCGCTCTGATCAGAGTGCAGCACCAACCTCCATAGCGACACTTCTCTGATGTACACTTCGATATTCACCACTGGACAAAAACTGCTCTGCTGCAATGAGGATACCGGGCATCTGCAGCGTTGCCTTACCTGCAAGTGCTGGCTTGACCGTGTCGCAGCCAAACTGCGCGATTGCAGCGGCCCATGCCTTGACCCATGCATTGGCGGTGCTGCCGCCCTCTGCAAAGGCCTCTGCCGCGGCGGCAGCGTAGGCGCTCAGAGTGTCGCCACCCTCTGCAGCAAAATGAAGCACAATTATGCTGGGGACAGGCCATCCTTGTACACATAATAGTGCTGCACACCATGCATGCCTGAAATGACCTGCTCCAAGCAGTTTCAGACAAAAGGACTGCAGATCGCACTTCACAGCTGATAGGCAAGTCTTGTAAAGCAGGTTATGTAAGGGGATTTGGAAGGGTGGGCGCACGAGTTGCGGCCTGGGCAGCAGCCAACGCAGCAGCGTTGATATTGGTGTTGGCTGTCTGAGCATAAGCATCTGCAAATGCGCGCGCCGCAAGCTGCTTGTTGGGCGCTGCACACACCCACACACGGCATACATGCGTCAGAAAAGCTCTTGTGATGGGTGAGACTTGCCATTTGCTCCACCAGTGTTCAGCAATATAGGTCATTTGCTCATCATGCTGGGCCAGCCTTGGGGCTGCAGCAAAGATGGGCAACACAAAAGAGCACAAGTTCAGTGTCATTTTTCTGTGCCAATGCATTGACAGAAATGGCGCCGGCAACCTTCACTCTAATCCTTGATCAGACGTGATCAGAGTGAAGGAGATTAACAGATGGTTTGCTTCAGCATTCCAGCAGCCAGAGCTGCTCACCTTGTGTGAAGGCCTGGGCTGTGGCCTTGGCGAATGCCTGGGCATTGTCAGTATTTTGAACCTTGGCAAGTGCTTGGGCCACTGCTTGGGCATTGCCGGTGGTGAGGCCAGTAATGAGCGGATCTTGGACCTGAGATATGGCGGTTGCCTGGGCGCTCGCCTGCGCGCCAGTTCCTGCATGCACCAAACTTTGCCATTCATGAAAACCTTGTCATTCAACGGTCTTGGATGGCCGCGTCATGGTGATCTAAGAAGCCCTTGAAAAGAAGGCAGCTGCACCTCACATATGCAGTTTGATTGGCATGCATGGATCCTGTAAGTCCACACAGGCAGCACATGCATGGCTTGCAGATGATGAAAAGCATGCACATGTAATACCTCACCACCTCTGTCGGATACAGGAAGTGGCACTGTTGAACTTGTTGTCCATACCTAGATTACTGTGACTTAAAAATGCATGTTTAATAGGCATGTCCGATTTGGTGGCAGAACTGCCATCATGCATGATCTGTATTTAGGATCTGCTGAATCTTACCTTGAAGCAGGGACCTGACATGCTCGCCTGTGCACATATGAAAGAGATCATTCAGCATGGGTTCATGTCTTGATGCCAACAATGTATTTTGCAGGCCTGGAGAGAAGGCATCTCAGCAACGTGGTCGACAAGGAAGACGAACGATACACCAGGCACTGTACACCCAACCACAGCTGTTAAATTGAGCGTGAAAGGAAGTAGCCTGCCTTGAAGCGATGCGTGCGTGCTCGCTGCTGCGAGGAGGAGGAGCAATGAAACGGCAACATGTCCTGAAGCCATCGTCTTGATGGTGCCGATGCTGTTTCCACACGGATCACCTGGTGGGCAGGGTGTGACGTCGACGAGGGAAGACACAATGCACAATGGGCTGCAAGGACGTCTCAGACGAGGATGTTTGAGAATTGAGTCGAGAATGTGACCAGAATGTCAGCTGGGCAAAGATTTGAATCTACAGGGATCTACACGTGAGAGGGTGACTGTACATGTCATGCATGCCAAATGGAGACGTCCAAGGCAACTTGAGCGTTGGGCACAGATGGCGGACAACTGCCTCCTCGCATCTCCTCAAGGATAATGATTCTCAGAGTTCGGCCCTTCAGAATTCTTTGCACGAGAAGATTAATCAGTTGACCTGATCGACGCATCAGTGTTTCTTCTGAACGTCACCATGGCCGTCTTCCGCGCGAGCCTGCTCCTCTTTGCGCTGCTCGCCCTCGGCGGTGATGCTGCCGTCACAGGTGCTGAGCTCTCTGATTGTTGGCACCGGAGAGAGACACCGATGGCACCAGCGATCAACGAAGTTGTACTTCAGTTGTATTTCTGCACACGTGTTTTTGGATTTCCTTGTTGGGTCACATCTTTAGATATTATATACAAGTCACACACTGCTTGCAGGGCACTCAGCACGATCCCTTCTTCAGTACGGAGGCAGTGAGTTTCCGATGCCAAGCTGCCAAGAGACACTGTCCCTGGTTTTCAACAATTCACATGCCCTGGTGCCCATCTCTACTACGTCATGCTTTCTCTATTACGTACAGAAAATTGATTGGCAGTAAAGCTGGAAGCTTGCAGTTGGCACAGGCGGCGGGACAGCCATAGCAGATGCACAGGCCCAAGCAGCCGTCCAGACAGGTGACTTTCCTTATATTGGATGTTGCACTTTTGCTGTGCAATGCTGCTGCTCTATCTTGCAGGTGCAATTGTGCTTTGCAGCATCGTTTGAGTTTTTTACTCACTACTCTGGATGCCGGCCCTGGCTGGCGGGGGGCGGTATATATACTGAGCACCGTGCCCACGGTTGATTGGGTCTTGCTTGGATCTGGAGAGTCCAACAAGCCTAGGATTGTGGCAGCCTTTAAGTGCAGCTTGTCCGCGGGACGTACCTTGCCTTCTGGCAGGAAAAGCGTGATATGATTATAATATTGTTATAAAAAACTCTGGATGCTGCAGGTCTGAATGGTCTCAGCGGAGGAGATGCACAAGCTGCTGCACAAGCCATCGCAAGCACTGACACCACGGGCGAGGCCCAGGTGACAGGCCTGACCTTCTGTCATGTCATGCAGACAAGCGAATGTTGTCAGCTGGTGTGGCTATCTGACTCCCTTTGCATGGATGTACTCGCAGGCTTTTGCAAAGGCCACTGCCCAGGCTTACACACAGGGTACACTGACTTTTCCTGTCCCAATCCTGCACTCACTCTCTGCGGCTAAATGAAGATCATGCTCATGCATTGGCAAAGAACCTGCCTGCATTTCAGAACGTCATGAGCTGCATGCCGAGCTGTATCTGCTGATGACTGACAAAGTTTGCTGTGGGAATAGCGGCGGACCCGGACGCATTCGCGCAGACCTATGCTCAGGCATTTGCTCAGGCAGCCACAACCAACGTCAACGCTGCTGCCCTTGCCACCGCTCAGGCTGCAGCACGTAAGTGATGTCAGCCGCTCTCTGCATGCCCGCATGCTTAACACCAGTCCAGCCTTATAGCCCTAGAGCAGTCAAGTTGGGGGTCACTGCATGGATCTGTGCATGGTCTACGTGGCGTGGCGTCATCCTCAGTGAGATGTCCTGTTTGCAGGATGCATAGAACTCTACTGCTGCTTCTGTGAGATGTGAATGCAGTGTGTCGTTTTGCCATGTGCAGAGGGCGGTGCAACGGCGGATGCTTTCGCCAAGGCATCTGCCAAGGCATTCGCGGCTGGTGGGGCACAGGCCAGGGCATTTGCCAAGGCATATGCAGCTGCGATTGCCCAGTACGGCTGCGACCAGATCAAGCCACTGCTCGCCAGTGAGTTCCTGGTCTCCATTTTTGCAATAGCAGACATTGCTGCCTCCTGGCTCCTGGCGAGAGGATACGTCATCCCTGCATGCTATGCAATGATAAACTCGTTGGGCTAGGCACCAGCCTAGCCCGGTGCCCTGAGTGTCACACGCCACACACGTTCAGAAGAGTATGCTGTTATGAGATTTACAGGGGTCTTTGCAGGAGGTGGGCATCGTGTCAGAATGGGCTGTTTCTGAAGTTCTGCACATTGCAATATTGTGCAGGGGGATTCACGGGGCTGATGTGCACTGCAGGTGCACAGGCGCAGGCACAGGCATCTGGTGGTGGAACCGGCTTTGCAGGCGCCTCAGCCTCAGCAGAGGCCCAGGCCATCCAGCAGTGCTGTGAGCCACCATAATCTTTTCTCCTGTTCATGCCAAGTGCAGAAACACAGTACTTGTCTTTGTGCTCATCAAGGCTTTCCAAAGCCTTGCATGGCCCTGCATGGCGAAGGGGCCATTGCTGGCTGGTACTATCTTAGCAAGAGTCTGCCTCTGATGACTCAGTGCCTTATTCGGCTCTTGTCTCCTTTCTTCTGAGAAGAACATGCTTTGATGTGCAGTGGGAGGGAGCAGCTCTCAGGCCACAGCCACTGCCAAGGCCGAGGCGACCAGCTTTGGAGGCTCAGCAAATGCTGTTGCAAAGGCAGAAGCGACCTCCACCGCCGGCCGGAAGATGCTCCGCGCTGCGCGTGCAGCCTGATGTGATTTTTGCATAAGTGGCCACATGATAATTCTTTTATGCGAGGCAGTGAATGAACGCTGCCTGAGAACTATCATCATATAATATTCTTAGTGTATTCGCGTCAGGTATAGTCAATCAAGCAGATACACGAGCATTGAAGTGTTTCTGTTGAAAGCATGCAGAATATTATTGCGTCTCAACAGATGCGTTGCAATTCAGGGGTATCAACAGATTGTGTGGGAGAGACACTTCAAGTTCTGTGTATATTTGAGGAAGGTGAGATATGAGCGAAGCTCGGGGTCACAGTCTGGGAACATTGTCAAAGGATTTTTGTTTTTAAGCGGAAGCATTCAAGTAGTGTGGTGAGAGCAGGGTTGAACAAGAAGATTGTAATCATATTGCCTAATCATCATATGTACAGTGCTAAGTCATCATGGTAAAGAAATATGATCTCTTACATATCAACCTGAGGCAGACTCTCAAGATACTACTCCAGGGGTGAGAACCTCACCCCTGGAACACTACAGCCCTACGGTATGTGGAACGATGGCATCTTCAAACACTATTGCGTCACACCAAAGATGTGTCAATCAGCCCACCATTTTCTTACAGATCACGACCTAGGTCTGTCCATGATCATTCAGACATGCCTCCCCACCTTGCTTCCCAATTATTCCATAAATCAGTTCAGAAGATACAAAGTCCAGATCAAGGTCTTGAGGTCTATGTTTTGAGCTGCTACACGCCGCAAAGGCCAATCAGCACTGATATTAGATGGCTCATTAGCACTGTCGGGGTGTTTGGCGCGATCATGGAACAGTCCTTTGCTTGCCCCAAGTGCTTGCATGAGCCTCTGCCTTAATCAGTCAGCATCAGCTTCAACATTGGAGCTTCATGTGACTGCCCGCAGCTTCCGGCCGCTGCCGGCACCGGCCTGCGCGGTGGCGCTGGCCTGTGCAAATGCGCCGCTGCCGTCGTTGGAGGAGGCCTGCGAGTCTGCAATGGCGGTCGAGGATCCACCCAGGCAGCTCTGGATGTCTCCTGACGACGCCGCCGCCTTCGAGAAGGCACTCGCTGCGCCGTTGCCGCTCGCCTGGGCCAGCGCAGATGCCTCTGCATGAACACATGGCGCACCGTCAGTCTCTGTTTACCCCTCAGCTAGCGCATGCCAGTGAGTCACAGCAGAGCCTGGGTTAGCATGTTCCTACTGCGCAGAATGGTGTAGCTGATAGCATTGAAAGGACTCCCAGTGCACATCAGGAAAACACCTGCTGTCTGTTTGCAATAACAGCACTTCAAGATCCTTGAAAAGCAGCTGTGAAGGGTTTGAAGGACGCATCATGTGCATCAGGTTGGCGTGTGCATCAGGTTGGCAATCAGCACTTCAAGACACGCAGAATAATATTCCAGTGCATATCTTGGAAGTCAGGATCAGACAGGAGCAATGCTGACTCTTCACAAGGGCAGGACGGTGCCTGGGGCGTACTTGCGAGTGCAGGCTGGATTGCCTGGCATCCATACTTGGAGATGGACCTTGAGATGGCCTGTGCAAAGGCGGATGCCTGGGCACCTCCAGTCACAAAGGCCTTTGCTGTCGCCAGCGCAGCTGCGTCCAGATTTGCTGCAGAGGCAAAGATGCAAAACACTTCAGCTCATGTCCAGTTCACTCTTGACCATGTTATGAGGCTCAGAGGAAAGCCACTTACTAGCACGCATCCCATTGCCATTGTGATGTATGTTATCAGATGCAAATAAATGCATGCTGGTTGCAACTTGCTTGCGCTGCTCATGCATGCATGCATGTGATCTGAACGCATTCTGAGTCCTCCTTGCAAGGGAATGTACTCACTTGAGCAGGTCTTGGCAAAGGCATCAGCGGCGGCATCGACGTTGGAGGCTGAGGCCTGGGCGAATGCTTGTGCGCTGGTGGATGCAAAAGGGGACGTCAGGGTTGGGTTGCCAGCTGCACAACAGCCACACAAGTCCATTTGTCATTGATTACAAACACCTGCAGTGTAGTTTGCCACGTGCATGCACATGCATGGCCACAGGGCCGGTTTACAGTGGTTCTGAGGCCTCAGGAAACTCTATGCAAAACAGGTAGAGATGCTGAGACACATGCATGCCGCAGACTGTCTCAGCCAAACAGAGGCAGCGACTCAGCACTGTCACCGCTTGATTGCATATAAGGCATGACGCATGTATTGCACAAAGCACTGGCCAGGGAACCGACTCAACAAAGCACAAAAGGCAGCCAAGCACGAGGGCTGCACCCTGTGAGTAAGCCTGTGAGAATGCATCAGCCACGTCCTGGCTGCTGCCGGACTGAGCAATGGCCTGCGCCGCCGCGTTGGCATCGCCGCCACCAAAGCCGGACTGAGCCTCGGCCTTCGCGCTCGCTGTTGCTGTTGAGCTGCCGGTGCTGGGGAGGAAGTCTGAGCCGCCTGCCCCTGCCCCTGCCGCGCCCAGCCCTGTTGCCTGAGAGCCGCCCGAGCCCAGCCCTGTTGTTTGAGAGCCGCCCGAGCCCACACCTGCCAGCAACCCCCTCTCTCAGGATACCAATTGACTGTGTAGACATGTGGCTGCGAGAGATACCAGCATGTGGTAGAGGCAGCAAAACATGTACACATACTTGGTGTGACACCTGTGAAGCAATGCCAGCAGTGCACTTCTCAGGATGCCAACGACTGCGTAGACATCTGGCAGAGGCAGCAGAAATGCACACATGTCTGATGACGAATATCACTACTGTGGGACATGTGGTCTTCTTTGGGCCAGGGCTGGTGCATCTTGGCATGCATGGGCTGCCAGGGAAATGGGCTGCTGCAGTGCAGAAGCGTGTCCAGTGCATGCTGCATCAGCAGAGGTGGACAAAATATGAACAGCTCATCAGATGCTCACCTGACACCTGAAGGAGCAGCCGGCCTGCAGCAGCAGAAGGAGAGCAGGGATCAGTGACCTTCTTTATGGATGCAGCTCGAAGGAATATCGTCAAGCGCAACAGACAAGCTGTCGCTGAAGTTATTGCGTGACAAGTCTGCAAAGTGGCAGCTGAAGGGCATTTGGCAGAAAAAAACGTCGCTGATGGTGTGCGCGCGGTCTGGGTCGCACAAAGGAAGATAAATTTATGGACGATCTGTCTGCTCGTTTCAGGCAAGCTGGGTACCAAACAGAGAAAACAAGCTGGCGCGCTTGTTCACCTGATGGAAGGTCGAGGGCAAGCGCAGGGGCGCTGCACGCAATGACGGCTAGGACGAAGAGATGTGCGAGACTCTGCATGTTGGCCGGTTTGATGGTGGTCCCGTTGCAGCCGATCAGCGCTTTGAAGATAGAGTCTGATCCAAAAGCTATCGGAGCTTGCTTTTAAGCCTCAAAAGCTCTGAGTAATGAAGCACTTGGTGCCAGCTGTGGCCCGCCATCTGTCCAGGAGAAGACCAAAAGAAGTTGCATGCATTCCACATCACCAGTGCCCTTGAAAACCTAAGGAAATTTGGGGCAGAAATGGCGGGGCAATGAGCCATTGGCAGGGTCTGAATGGATCTGGACTGCTTAAGGCCTGAATGTTGAAGTCTGTCTTGAACCTCATGATAATCATGAAGAAGAGGTCATGATGGAAGATATGCATGCATTCTTCAGCGTGCAATTTTCTTAGCATGCAAAAGCTTGACATGTACGGGAAGGAGAGCTCTGTGCCACGCTGATGCCATTGGATGGTGCGGTGCATTCAAATATTTCTTCAATTTCCTTACAGGCTGTCACCCTGACCATTAGCGAGTGACAGAGATGCTACCAATTCATTCTGAGCAACTTGAATCTACCTTGATTAACCACTACATAGAACGTGCTGCTACTAGCTGATGTCAAACAGCCAAACCAATTGGACCAAAACCAGATCCTTTTGATACACCCCCTACGTACCCTATTGTTGTGCTTGAGACGCTGCATCTTAGATTTAGTGTTGCCCTAACTGCAAAGCAGAGCATAGTATAAATCACAGTGGGCAAAGCAGACCCTGCAGATGGTTGCAAGACATATTGAACAGAGAGTGGCTTCATAAATCATTCTGCCTTCATCGTTCAGCACGACATTCATACCTGGCATGCAGACATGTCTGGCAAGCGTTTCTGGCTCAATTGAGCACATGTTTCAGATAGCCAGTATGAAATGGATAAATTATGCGCAGAAAGAACCAACCGATAGGGTTGCATGCCCCAACAATTTGCCAGCTAACCACAGCAAAATCTGAACCCTATATTTCATTCTGCAAACAAAATGGGCATTGAACCGCTGCAGCAACAGCCAGGACTCCTTCGGCAACCCACGGTAGATATGAACTGCCATCACAGGAGGCTGGAAACTCTCAGACCATGAGCATCTTGCGGCCAGAGCCAGAGCTGGCCTGCGCGGTGGCCTGTGCAGATGCGCTGCTGCCGCCGGGTCCACCAGAGCTGCCGGCATTGGCTGCCGCATTTGCCTGGGCGCTGGCCTGCCCATTTGTCTGAGCCTTGGCTGCTGCATCAGCCTGCGCTGCTGCCTGGCTGGAGTTGCCGCCGGCGCTTGCACTGGCGCGAGCCTCGGCCGAGGCCCGGGAGCCGGAGCCGCCGATGCAGTCGGCAATGATGGGGTACTGGGCCACCGCCTGTGCAAAGGCCTGCGCGACTGCGTCCCCCTGAGCGACCGCCATTGCCTTCGCCTCTGCGCACGCAGCAGCCGAGCCGTCAAGACTAGCATGACATGACATGCAGGAGGTGCAGGTTGCCAGATGTAAAAATCATGCGAATGCATGTTCAGCCAGTGACTATGCTGCAGGTTGCCAGGGTGCAACCCCTCAAAATGAAATGACATGCAGTGCATGATCTGCCAAGGCTGCAGGTTGCCCCATGCAGCTAATCAAATGGACATGCAGTGCATGATCAGCGAAGACCAGTGAATAGCCAGCGGGCTGCCTCATAAAACCTCCTCGACGTGGCTGACATGCAGAACATGATCAGCCAGCACTGCAGAGACAATGCATGACCCCAGATGCTTTGACTGGAACAAGGACCTGGTTGCCAGAGGAAGGGGCGGAGACTTACTGGCCAGGGTTGGCTGGAGGGTGGGGCAGCCCGTCTGGCTGATGGCCAGGGCGATGGCTGATGCAAAGGCCTTTGATTTCTCGCCTCCGGCGCTCAACGCGCGTGCAGCAGACACCGCAGCTGCTTCGGCAGAATCACCGCCACCTGCAAATGTATAGCAAAGACAGTCAAGAATTTTTCAACACAACATGCCATTCACAATTTATGCTCTCTGACATGTCCTGACATGTCCAGGCTCCTGACTGCCTCACATCACAATATTGATGCTGCTGCTGCATGCACAAAGGAAATTATAGCATAGGGGACAAGATGGAAGCAGGACTGTGCACACTTGCTGCAGCCTGAGCGTATGCCATCGCAGTGCTGGTCGGGTCAGAGCTGGCAGCTGATGAGAAGGCCTCTGCGCTGCTGTCCGCGAAGGAGGAGGTCGCGGATGGCTTGTCGGCTGCAGTAGAAACAGGACCCATCAGACACTATTCACAGGTGTGCCATTCAGATTTTGGAGGCTACATGACGATTACATGTGGTTGCTGCATGGCATGCAATTGCAAGCAGTTGCTGCAACTCAGTGATGCTCTTGCTGCGACAAAGGAGGGTGGGCACAGCCCATACCTTGGCTGTATGATTGGGCGAGCGCACTCGAAACTGCGCTGGCCTGCTCAGATGAGTGAGCACCCACAATAGACCTTGCTGCAGACAGGGGATCGCCAAGGAACCCGCCGCCTCCTGCTCCAGCCAGAGCCCCTCCGAGGAGACCTGAAAGATAGAGTCTGGGTCAAAGTGACCAGAATCTCTCTCTCTCTGCATGTACTCAGTCATGCGCATTGCTTATATTGGCATCAACTTGGGCAGCCACAGAGCAGTTTGCATGACAATGCAGGCAGATAGACAGGCATGCATGCAAACCCTAGCTAGCCCCTCAGCAAGTAGACTTACCAAAGGTCTTCAGCTGGCGCCCTGCAGCACAGGCACAGAAAGGAGTCTCTACTTGCCAGATCATCTGCTGCAAGCTTAAGCCTTTGCTTTCCTGCATGCTCCGGAGGAGATGAGGAGCACATCATCTGAAGCTCTAGATCTAGCGCAATGCCCGACGTGACGGGCTTGGAGTCGTGCTCAGACGGTACTTGGTCGGCCCGACACAAACCACTTGCTTAACAATCCACAGTTGCAGAAGCAATCAGTAAAAAGGTTCCTGTATCAAACGAGAGACAACCAGTGCAGAAAGCACTGCATCCGGCTTTCAGCTCGGGTTGAAGACCGTGAGGCCTGAAGCTTACAAACACAGGTTGAGGCACGCCAAATAGGACAGGAGCTCACCCGAAGAGTGATCTTCCGCAAGAGCAGTTGCAGAGGCGCAAAGGAGGAAGACGACGAGGATGTTTGCAGAAGGAGGCGACATGGTGGCGGCCGGAGATGGGATGGAGATCGTCGATGCAGCAATGTAGTAAACGAGTAGGACTGCCCCAGATCCGTTAAGACTGAAAGGACGGAATCCCAACGAACACAATGCACCAACATATCTGAAAGAGAATTGCTGAGCTCTGCAATCCAGTGCATCTTCGGACGAGCCAATATAGCATCCGAAATGGGATATTCTAAAAACGCATTGCCAGCTGTGCACATGTGACAGACATGCATGCAGGCAGGCAGACTGATGCTTGTCATGACGTCAATGATGACAAGAAATTGTCAGCAGCGGACAACGTCATGTCCATCCTGCTTTCCAGCTGGCAGTTATGAGTACTAGCTCGTATAGCAATCGCTTGTACAGCTCTGTCAACGAATATTGATATTACAACAATGCGCATCCCATAACCCATCCGGCAAGCACAAGCCTGCAGCTTGTCTGCAGACGCACTTTGCCATTAGCTACGGCAAGCACAGCATGCAATGATGATATGAAGCCACTTGGGCAGGCAAACGTCACCCCGTATATTGCTACACAGTGATTTGCTTGCAGATGTTCCAAGCTCTGAATCAGCAGAGTAAAAGAGTCCCGGCCTGGCCGTCTGATTAGTCTTGAGAGAGAATGAGCAAGCTTAACGCAGCTTGCAACGAATAGACATTAGGGAATGACACTGTGCACTATGCAAAGGCCTGACGCAATGAATGCCAGGCCAAGATCCACCAGCAGCTGACTTCACAAAAGAATACCAGCCATCACTTGGCAGCAGCATTGACACCCCATTTGGTGGCATAGCGCTCGAACTCCTCGTCTGTCAACAGAGCGCCGTCCAGCTGCTTGCAGATGGCCGCCTCATCCATGCCGGCGCCAATGAAGACAATCTCCTGTACACGCAGCAGCGTGGGCACTCAGCATCTGCCCAGGTGCACAAGCACAGGGAAGGTCTGCCACATGCCCAGAAGATGAGCTTGGCCCAAAACTGGGAATGTGCCAGTGGCATGCGCAGCGAAAATCTGGATCCACTGCTCCGACCTGAGCGGAGTTGTGTCACAGCAGGAACAGGCCTTGACAGACAATTTGGCCAAGGATGCAGGTGATGATGACACCCACCTGACGACGGTCGCCATAGGACGAGTCCTTGTCAAAGTCACTGAGCACCACATTGCGCTGGGCTTCCTCCGTGGGCCACTCTGACTCTGGCACGGCCGCCCACCTGCATTAGAAATGCAACATCAGCCTCATGCTTCCATTGTACTATAAACACTTTGCGCCAGTGGACATACAATCTGACATGGACCATATCGGATGCGGCCTGCCCCCATGTGGTTTATTTTTTGTAACCCTACAAGGTTCGTAAATAAGCAAGAAATGTGCTGCAGCTACATGACTGCATGCAGCAGACAGCCTGCTAAGTGGAGGTTAGGAGAATGCGAGCGCACCAGTCGCCCTCGTCGCGGATCTCAAAGTGCTGGCCGGCATGGGACCAGTAGAAGGCGGTCATGTGGTTGTGGCTCATCCACATGAAGCCCTTGGAGCGCAGCACCGTCTTGATGGGCGAGTCGCCCACCTCCGGCGCTGCCTGCCCGGTCTCTGCATTCTGAGCCACCGGCATCCACCGCAGCACTGTGTCCCTCAGCCTGCATGTCACTCAACTCTTCAACCACATGAATAGAGCATGTGCATGGCTGTATTTGGGTTCCAATCCTCAAGGTTTGAGGAAAATTCCTTGAGAATGCATTCTTGTCAGATGCAGGCTTCCGGCAGTTTGAAAACGTCTGGGGTGTTTTTGTACATTAGGCAAGCTGACAGTGAATGCTGCAATATAGGTCGGGCGTGGGGATTGAGCAGGTGTGTTGCTCACCTCTGGGGATGGAAGGGCCGCCTGCGTGAGTAGACGAAGCTACGGATGCCGTAGCGCTTTGCAGCGCTGGTCTCTTGCCGGTCCTACAACAAGAAACAGTCACGTACTGGCCAAAATAACGCTGCTATGTTGCTGCATGCACCTATACATAAATGCACCTTAAAAAATCTGGATAGCAGATTTGACAGTCAGGCATAGGCCATTTCTCATCACCGTGTGTGCAGGATAAGATTGTGCTGCTGCTTGGCGCCCACCTTGTGCCCATGATCATGGTCATGCTTGTGGCTGTGGCTGTGATCATGATTGTGGCTGTGGTCATGGTCCTTGTGGTCGCAGCCCTCCTTCTCGCACTTGTCTCCGTCTGCATGCGCGTGGTCATGACCGTGGTGATGACCATCATGGCCGTCCTCCTTTGCTCCCTTGTGGTCATGCGCATGATCATGGCCGTCATGCTTGTGCTTCTCCTGCGCCAGACTCTTGCAACTTAGCAGCAAAACTGGAGATCATCGCCAGCAAAGCCCCACAGCAGAGTTAACCTGCAGCCTGCGTGTAGCCACTTGCCAGGTCTCCTGTCAGTGTAATTCAACAACATCAGGAGGCTATCAAAGTCTTCTTCAAAGTAAGAATTTTGACGAACATGCACCTCATCTGCAGCTAGAGCGCGGGCAGCGGCCACAGCCCCCCGGTGGTGGCCTTCGGTGTTGAGGTGAGCCACAATTCCCTTGGCTTCCTTGCCGAAGACGTCGTCCAGATCAACGCGTCCTTGCTCGCATGCGATCACCTGCAGGCGAAGCAGAGCTTGCAATTAGAGGGATCACTAAGCACTCGACGCACTCTGTCAGGGCCTCTTAGTGCACAGAGCATGAAAGCAACGCCACTTTAAGGCGGATGACACCCTTGCATGTTCGTTGGAGCTGGAAGGTTCTGCCAGTACTGATAAGCCAGAGTCAGCAGGGGTGAGCTCACCTTGGACAGAGGGTTGAGGGACTTGGCAATGTCCACCAGGCTGTCCAGCTGCCCCTCCTTCAGCGTGTCAATCTTGTTCAGCAGCACAAAATCTGCGCACCTGCAACAAGTGCAGAACACACACGCATGAGCAAATTGAAAACCTGGGGAAGATAACAAGATCGTCCTGTGCATTAACACGCGAGACCATGCCACCCAGCTACATCCCTTGAGTGTGGCCCCCATTGATCACATTGACAACTCTCAGATTGGGCGTTGGCCCCCTTGACATGTTTCAGTTCTCATGCTGCACTCTAATCAGATCCTGCTGGATTGTGTGTATATGTTTGGCAGGACTGACTATTGATGCATGGAGGAATGACTCACTCGATCTGCTCCACCAGGAGGTCGACCACAGGGCGCAGGTTGCCGCCTTCGCCCAGGTCTGGCCGCGCAGCAAGGGGGGAGCGGGAGGAGTAGTCCACAATGAATGTGCCGGTGTCTACGATGGTGACCAGAGTGTCCAGGTAGATGCGCTGCATCAGCGGGTTGCCGGCAGCGATGGCCTCTGTGAACTGGTCCCGGATGTTCTGCGGCTCTGCCACGCCAGAGTTCTCCAGCACAAACCTGTTCCCAAGAAAGAGCGCTTTTGAATTTGGGGCTCAATCTGGGCAGATCTGCAGAACCTCCATCAAGGAATCTGTCGTGTAGATGCCATGCAGCGCATTTGTAGGGGCACTTTGCCTCCAGCTGCGCGTGCAGGGGCGTCTGTTGAAGGGGCGTTTGTTGCGGGGTAGATAAAATTTTGGTGTCCAGATAAAAGCAGCTTGCCTGTCGTAGGTAGTGCCCTTCTTGTCTGATAGCGCAAGCAACTGCTCGAAGGAACCAAAGAGCTCATCCTGGATGCTGCAGCCTGCGCCCAGTAAGTACAAAGCACTGGTCATATACTTCTAGTTGGCAAAGATTTCATGGGCGTGACAAAGGACAGTCAATACCTTTAAGATTTATTGTGATGCACTAATTGGCCGTTTCACTTACATGCACATCCATTGGCGAGTTCCACCGTATCTGCCAGATCTGAGGTTGTCTTGGTGCCATTGTTTGGGCCCCGGGTCCTGTCGTTGCGGATGAGCTTGGCATCTATATTGACATTCGCCACATCGTTGACGATACAACCGATCTTGGAAGTTGAATTCTCCAGGAGGTACCTCAGAAGTGTTGTTTTGCCTGCACAGGATTGGTGATCACTTAGCCATCGGTAACTTATCACGATCTCGAAGGACTTAGCGGCCATTCAAAACTCTCTGAATCACCTGCAATACGAAAAGAACATCTCTGTTGCAATAGGAATGCATGAAAAGACAGACAGCCCTGTACTAGTCTTATTTCTTGGCACCATCTTGGCCGCCTCGTGGTATAGAAACGCACCACTGCCTAGGAAGCCACTGAGCATCGTCACGGGAATCGGCTTGGGCTCCGCCATCTTGATCCGCTTCATGGGTCTGTCGAGTCTGTTGCGCCGTGCAAGTCTTCAATGTTTGAAAGAAACGGAACGCGGACTCTGGATCGCGGTCCTAAAGGAGGAGGAGAGAGGGAGGCGTGTGCCAGGCGTGTGTCTCTTTCTGTCCCAATTTGGCTCCATGAAAAGGCTGCCAGCCCAATTAGGGTCTCTGACAACATGCCTGCAGTCAGCATGGCTCGCATGAGCATGTATGCCGGTTGAGGCTCAGCAGGCTGCCAGGCACTGAACAGTTTACCGCACTGAGTATGGTGCACTGACCGCTGTGTATCATGCGCGCGGCCCGCGGCCTACGGCACTGGGCTCAGGGATGGAATGCGGCAACGACTGCTCGCTCTTACAGCGGCCATATTGGCATTTCATGGCACCTTGAGGTTCAGGGCACAGCAATGAACCTGGCAAAACTTGGAAGGCACGAGCCCAATTGCATGTGCTACAGGTGCCGGTCCCCTGAAATTAGCTTAGAGGGAGTCACAGTCACCGCTGGCATAGTCTGCTACCCTCTCAATCCAAGTCCCATTAAAATTTTGTGGTAACATGTTGTTCCAAACTCAGCACTCAAGACCCAATGATTTGATCTTACAGGCTTCCTAGAATTCCGGGCGAATCCTGCATCAGACTAGGATTTGATCAGTGCATGGAAAACATCCTGCGGAATGTCGACAGACCCCACTCGGCGCATGCGCTTCTTGCCTTCCTTCTGCTTCTCCAGGAGCTTCCTCTTGCGGCTCACGTCGCCGCCATAGCACTTGGCCAGCACATTCTTCCGGAATGCCTGCACATGCATGCATGCACCATTCATGAAGCACGTTGTGGCAGCAAGATGGTACTTGAATCATCAACCTCGCATAAAGCAGCTGATACCTGCTCAGTGTTGCAAAAGCACCTACCTTGAGAGTCTCTCGGGCAACAATCTTGTTGTTTGCAGCGGCCTGAACGACGATCTCAAACTGCTGCCTGCCCATCTTTTCCTTCATCGCCTCGCACATCTTGCCACCGATCCGCTGTGCTTTGTCCCTGCTCGCATGGCAACACCTCTTGCCATCTTAAATCGGCCCCTACCCATCATACTGGCAAGACAACCAGACGTGAATTGCGCCTCACCGTATCGCTACAATCAGATGTGAATTGTTCCTCACCTCACCATACTGGCAAGACAGTCAGATGTGAATTCCCCTCATAGTGAGGGCCAATGAGAGCATACGATCTGAGATTCATGTAGGTTTGCGCGGGCAAGGAGTGCTCACCGGTGGACAATACGAGCCAGGGCATCTACGACCTCTGAGTTGAGGAGTAGGTCCAGGCGGACCAGGTCAGCCTTGCGCATCTCGCCCTCCTCGTAGTCAAAACTGGCGTAGCCGGAGGTGATGGACTTGAGGGAGTCGTAGAAGTTGCCTCCCAGCTCTGCCAGCGGCAGTGTATACCTGATGAGCCAGCATGCAAGCCCATCTCAGTCCTGCCAATCACCAGGGGCACAATATGCAATGCAGTCCTCTGGATCGACCTTCAGGGGGAACCTAAGGGCTCAGGTGATCGTTGACTGGGGCACCCTATCACCTTATATGACATGCAAACCTGATATGCTTACAGACGGGCTTATTATCACTCTTTAAATGTAGGGAAGGAACGTCCGCTGATAGATTGACATGAAAAGATGACCAGGAGGACTCCACCCAGAAGAACATGGCACATGCCTTGATGCTTTTCATGCTTTGATCGCCATGAGTGCAAACAACAAGGCCGGTCTTGTTCGGGAAAAAGCCAGCATGGCAACATGGGCGTCCCAAAGCAACAGGTGACAGGGTGCATGCCTGAGCAGCGTGCGTGCAGGGCTGAGGACGGCGTGCTCAGTCATCTCCCCGCGCCGGTCCTGGAACAGCTCCATGATGGACCCCACATGCTCGCTGGGCGTCACCACTGTCGCTGCCACTGTCGGCTCCCACACCCCCGACAGCTTCTTGCCCAAGGGGAACTGCATGCACACCACACAATGCTTACTCCAGTTGTTTCTTGTACCTTCAGGAACATCCAGAGAAATTCCCAGGTCCAGACCAACAGAAAGCAGCATGCAGTTGCAGGTATGCACATCTTCAAATATATGCACTGCTGGTAACCAGCTGCAGGGAATGCATGCAGGAACTGCAGCCAGACTGCACGGGAATGGGAGAGTGGACAATGATGGTGTCACCTGTGATGGGTTCTGGATTTCCTCGCGCGAGCCGTCAGTGTGCTCGATGGAGTACGGGACCGTTGGAGACGTGGTGATGACATTTGCGCCATGCTCCTGCTCCAAGCGCTGATGGAAAACCTCCATGTGCAGCAGACCCAAAAACCTGGGGGGTAAAGACATACATCAGGGCCCTTGCCACTAAGCAATCTCCGAAGCGCAATCGGAAGGGTCTCAATTGCTGCACAGATGGATAGAGGTCGCCAGACCACCAATGACAGGCTGATTGTCACAAATTACATTGTTGACACAGCTCTATTACATACACATGAGGATCATGTGTGTATGTAACAGGGAGGGGTCAACAACATGACCTGTGAGCTTCTGTCTCAATCAGGCTGCTGCATGCATCACCCCCAAATTTGCTGCATGACATCAGGGTGATGTCACACACCCGCATCGGAAGCCGGCACCCAGTGCAGCGCTGTTCTCCCTGCGGACTGTCACGCTGGCATCATTCAGCACCAGCCGGTCCATCGCAGCCGCCAGAGCATCAAATTCTGCCCCTGAGATGGGATAGATACCTGCACAAACAGCAGAGCACATATGCAATCAAGCACACCTGCCATACAGTAAATCCAAACTCTAACAGGTAAGGTACAAAGCAGTGCGGTCTGCCAAAGAACCATGCTGAACAGGTGAGACGCCCCATGTATTAGTTGAAACCAGTGCACTTCTTGGTAACAATTTGGAGGGCACCTGCAAAAACCATGGACTTTGTGGGCTTGAAGCCAGGCAGCATCTCGACGGGCTGCTTCAGGAGGTGCCAGGTGTCGCCCACTCGGCAGCTGCGCGTGCTCTTCATGCCGGTGATAACATACCCCACCTGCCCTGTGCACAGCTGCCCTGTCGACACTGGCTCAGGTGAGAGAAGGCCCACCTGGAGCATCACTCCAGTATCAGCATACCTAGTAACTTAATGGAAAAACCCTGCAAAAAGCACAGCGTCCTTATCACCTTGTTTGATCACCTGGCCTCCTCTAGGAACGTAAGAGGGGTTGGTGGGCGTTACACCAAGAAAGCCCTTGAAAAACGGCAGTAAATCACCTCTAGAATGTCATAGGTGTCCCCAGTGGAGGAGGCCACGACTTTGTCTCCCTTGCGCAAGTGCCCATCCACAATCTCCACCAGGCAGATCACGCCGCGGTACTCGTCATGGAAGGCGTCAAACAGGAGCATCCGCAGGGGACCGGCTGTGTTGCCTGGAGGCGGCGAGATGCGCTCTATGACTGCTGGGAGAATGGTCTCGAGCCCAAGCCCTGCACATGGGCCACCCAAGCTGTTCACGCTAAGAACTGGCAGTGTGATCTGAATGTAAATTCTGATCAACGCGACTTAATAAGTACGACTTCTATCACGTTACTGTGTCACCCCGGATTGAGTGAGGAATATCCCTCACCTGTCTTGGCAGATGTCAGCAGGCAGTCCTCTGGTGAGATGTCAAACACCTGCACAGCAGCACATGCCAGCTAAAACACTGACGTGATCCTTAAAAAGCTCTGCCAGATCCAATATAGGCCCGGAAGGAATGCAGTTTGACGCACCTGATGCATCTGCTCAGCCACCTTTTCAGGTTCGGCGGCTGGCAGGTCGACCTTGTTCAAGACAGGCACAATTGCCAGACCCTGCTCAAATGCCAGGTAGAAGTTCGCCAATGTCTGAGCCTGAGAATTGGCACCACAAACTGCCTCAGCTGAGGTTCTGCAGGCCAAGGCCGTCACGATGATCTGATGCTACTACAAAAATGTCATGTATGCTTCTGCAAGCTTGCTGCAGCATCTTCACTAGTTACCTGAATGCCTTGCGCAGCATCAACCAGTAACAAGGCCCCCTGGCAAGCTGCCAGGCTGCGAGACACTTCATAGCTGAAATCCACATGCCCTGGTGTATCAATGAGGTTCAAGAGGTACTCCATGCCCTTGTATCTGTACACAAGGGTTGCTGTCTGCGCCTGCATGTCCATTCCTCAACAATTTCAGGCATCACCTGTCTATTTGGTGCCGTTGAGCCGTTCCAATAAAATTCAACTGCTACAATAATGGAGTAAAAGAGCATCATATTATGCACGATGGAGTGCTTTGTTCAATACTCCTGGTTGACAGACACCGCACTTACCTTGACTGTGATGCCCCGCTCACGTTCAACCTGTAGTTTGTCAAGGTACTGCTCCTTTCCACCCTTCTTGATGGCGCCAGTAAGCTCCAGCAGGCGATCTGCCAGTGTGGACTTCCCATGGTCCACATGGGCTATAATGGAGAAGTTGCGAACCTGACATGCACACCCACAGTAAGTGTGAGGCTTTGCTTAGTCAAATGTGATGCTACTTAATGCACCTGATCATGCACGTTTTGGGCCGGGGGCGGGGTAGGTGAGAGCTCACCCTTTCTGGAGGGAACTGCTGCACATCAAACTTCCCTGCCACGAATCCAGGGTTTTCTTGCTCGTTCTCTTTCGCCAGAACTGCAGCATGGGCACTGTAACACCGCCAGGATGGGTGTCCAAGGAGGCATGCTGCTCCATTCGCATGGAGCCCTGTTGCTGTATGCACCTTACTAGTGCATCTCCTTGAGAGATATACCGGTGCTGGATTGCCTTCTTGACGACTGTATTCTGTTCGATATGCTAGAGAATCGTTCGAGATTGAGTTGCAGCCTAGTGTGTGCAGACATGCAGACAACGAAAACGAGTGCCGTTGCTCCCTTGCAGGTGTGTAAGAAGTCAATGAACACGCAGTTCTGAGAGCTTTTAACAATTTGGCGCAACTTGTCATAGCCAGACTGGCATTGCAGCTATTGTGTAGACGCCATTGAACAAGTGATCTGTCGAATAAATATAAATTTATGTGCAAGTAACACGGTCTTTGGGAGAAATTCTGACCAATTTGCGATCTGCAGTATGTGAATTGAACTCCTTGGAACAAATTGTGCGAATAAATTCATTGGCACAACCCAGAGTCCAGCTGTGACTTTCTGATGACGTCACCTCTCAAGTGAGAGGAGACAATTTTCGTTCCTCTTCAGTCCATTCTACTCTGGAATGAGGGAATTCAAAATCTTGGATCACTGACAGAAAGTGCAGGAGTGAATGAATTAGCAGTGCTAGGTAAGTACTTGTAGCTGGCAAGGTAATATGCATGCATGGTACTGTTGAACCGGCAGCCGGGGGTGACATTCACAGTGTGACACTGTGGCACCCTTAGTAAGAGCGGGGCAAAGCACTGCTGTTCCATTCATGATCATGAATAGGTCCTATGTTCTGTGCAGTCTGCAGCATTATATTTCATGCATGTCCGGGATGGCCCCGATCGCAATCTGCAAGTCCATGAAATCAGCTTGACTTATTCAACCTTAAAGAGCTTCCGACCCACCACCGGCATTTGTATCTTTTGCAGAGGAGTCAACATCATGCCACTGGCAGTAGAGTGCACAGAACTGCACTCACCGCCGTTCAGCAGCAACATCACATTTGCTAAAATCCTGGACGCACGCAATTGATGCCTGTCTTTAACTGTTTTTAGTTTCCATGCTAATATACACCTGCAGAGGCAGTACTACTAGAATCCTGCTGCAGACCCATTGTTCAGTACATCCTATCGATTTGCCCGCTCTGCGTTGGCCGCTGCTCTGCCCTCTGTTTCCTGATGCGTGCTATTGCCGGCTTCAGCGCAAATTGCCGCTTTATCCATGTGGCCACTTGCACTGCGAGGCAAGCAAAAAATGTCAGCTTGCTTCTCGCAATATACCACTGTGCAAAGTGTGCCCATGCTAGACCGTTTCTGATCACCAGAATGCTATGGCAGCATACGCGTGATGCTGGCAACCTCACCTTCGATCGTCCGTATCTGTGGCACCAATGTGCGCACGTTCCTGACTGGCAGCCAGTCAGCAAGTCCCTGGCCCCACACCAAGGTGCCCTCATCGATGACCCCTTGCACCCAGCACTCGCGCAACACTGGAAGGTTGCATGGCCCCCTGGGGACACTCAGCCTGTCTCTGTAGTACCTGCATGTTCAAGAAGCATTCTACATGATTAATTAGACTGTCAAGGGTCAGTTGATCTAGTAGCTCAGATGCAGGTGGGCAACAATGCAGCTGCAAGACCTACGAAAGGTTTCAAAACAAAAGAATTCTATAATACTCAGAAGACCTGCTGAGGACAGTTCAAAAGTAAGGCCAACCAGATTCCAAACTCACCAGACATTCTTTGAGGTTGCTTCTCTGACGTAGTCAAAGATCTGGCGATCTTCGAATGTAAGAGACGGCTTCTTCGTGGGCCTCTGTACTGTAGGTGCTTCATCTGCTGCAATGTCTGCTGTTTTCTTTTTCACTCTGCGTTTCTTTTTGCCCACTCCTGCATCGGGTGGCTGCTGGTCTGCCATGGACACAGCGTACGAATATTAATAAGTTTTGATCAACGCAAAAAAATGTAATGCAGAGAAAATTTGTTCAATTCATCTAAACTTGCATTTCGCAGGATAATCGAGCCGTCCTATCCGGGCAGGGCAGGCCATATCCACCTGCAGCTGGGCAGCTGCACATGCGCCGAATGGAACATGGGCTTTCTTCTTCATTGAAAAGAAACGCATCCTGTACAATATCAACACATGTATAACAGCTGTAGTTGTCGTGAGGATTGACACACTCTATTCGCGGTTGTCACTATTGCTGACTGCTGGTCCAGATCGCAATGCGCATCTAGCCATGGCACAAGCTTTCAAGAAAGACATTGTAGGCAGACGATAGGAAAATAATAGATGGAAGAAACATAAGATGTAATTTCTATGGATGTCGCACCTTACAACATCGTCAAAATAATTGAAGGGCTGCGAGCCGTCAGGGACCATGGAACCAATCTGCAGGGTGAGCTTCAGGGAAGTACTAATTGCCAGGAAAGGCTGCCTGAAATTAAGAGGGAAGATTATCGTGCGGGAAAGTATCAGGGACAGTAATAAGCATGTTGTTGAGCTTTGGCAAACGTGTGCCCAGGCTTGAAAGACCTTCGCAAAGCTGTCAGGGGACAGAGGGCACCGGAGGCGCTGCAAGAATTTCTCACACGCTCAAAAGAATGCGAAGAACTGCAGGCAGTATGGGATGCTCAACTCAAGGTATGCAACACCTGCAGGATGCATGCACCAAGAGCGTTCATGTCTCCCTAGTACAGAGATCTGAGCTTGTGAACCTATTATGCAGGCCAAGGATGATGATGTCACAGCTGCCCTGCTGCTGCTGATTGCTGACCTGCTCAATCTTTCCACAACTGTTGAGTTGGCGCCAGAGCAGCAGCGGTGCCTGTCCCAGCTAGCCCTGAGCATCATCTCTCGCCGCCTGAAGGTGATCATGCTTCCAATTTCTTGATAGATGCGGCAAGGTAGGCAATGTCATTGAGTGAGGGTTGTGCGATCATGCTATATCCGACATGCTTGTCAATGCGCTAGACACATCATCGGTCCCTCATCTATCGAGGATGCATCACAGCGATGGCTCTCAGCTGACGATGGATATGCGTGTTTTCCGCAGACCCTCTATTTCTACCTTGGATCAGATGTGAGAGCCAAGGCCAATGCTGCGCTGTCACTCCTTGCCGCCATTGCCAGGCACAGCACTCAGGCTGCACGGGACCTAGTGCAAGCATTCGACTTCACACTCTCCGCACTGCCCAGGCTCTGCAAGCTCCCAAGGCAGGCCCTCTTGCACAGTCTGAAAAGCACACATGGAATCTATAAGCCTGAAATATTTTTTGTATTACATCGCTTTTGCTCAAGCAATATTTGTTTGACTTTTTTGTGTGACTCTGCAGGGAGAAGAAGGAGATTGGGGCGGATGAGGCTCAGCAGAGGCTCTGGCGTTTTTGGAGGAGCGCGGATGTGGCAAAGAGGCCCAGCGCTGCGCTGTTTGCAGAATTTGCTCTGGCATTGCTCCAGGCGGCTGATGCCCAGCTCCTGTGCACTCTGCTCCCTGTCAGGTATTTTGCACATAAATCTACTGCCGCATCTTTCCTTTGATCACCATATCTCTGTGTTGTGTGGTCTTCTCCTACTTTGGCTGCACTAGACGCCTCAAACTGCACAGGGCTCAGATACCGCATAATGTGGGTTGCAGGCCGATCTTTGCGGGACTTCTGCACAATCTCGGGCAGTTTCCACCTGAGGCCGCTCTGTCAATCCTCACCTCGCTGCAGGACAGGGTCCTGGGCATGGGTGACGCAATACCAGCAGACCTTCAAGCAGAGCCATTCGGCGACACTGCATTGTCCCAGGTGATGCCGAGGTCCACTCTGGAAGCAGCATGCATTAACACTGTGAAGGACATCTAGTAACCCACGTAAACAATTGCAGGATGCCTTTTGATCAAATGGCAAAGCATTAGGACATGTCAGTCAGTGTGATTATCGCTTCCAGCCAACTTAGGGCTGTTCCGATGCCTGACATGTGAAGAAGTCTGAGCTGTATTGTATTGCTGACATTAGTGGTGATGCAGATAGCGGCAGTGGCTGCATGGGAAGCGCCAGCCGAGGAAGAGGAGGCCTCCAGCAATGCAGACCTTGTAATACCATGCGCTGGTGCTGCTCAGCAGATGCTGCTAGAGCTGGGAACCAACCCTGCTCATGGACTGGCTCCCGGTGGCGGCGACCATGGCAGCTCCACTGAGAACATTGGGGGTGCGTGCACACCCCACGCGTCTTCATGTGACCCTGCTCAATTTTGTCGAGGCATTGTCATTCCTGACATGCTACACAATTAGCGCACTTGCATTGCCTATCTTGCACGCCTGGCTCTGGGGCAGACGTTTGCAAAAGAGGAGCCCCTGTGCATGCCCAAAAGTGCCGCCGGCTTGCAGAAGATTAGCGTGGGTTGTGTCCAAAATTGGTCATGGTGCGCAGGAAGGAAAAGGCTGCAGCGATTCCTGCAAGGGCTGCGAGTGACGACTGCCAAAGCGCACTACGATCTGCTGCTGGCCATGACAGCGGCGCAGCCCACGCTGGCGGCTGCATACTCGGTCAACAACAGCCTCAGCCTGGAGCCAAGACCCAGCCTCAGGTGGTGGGCCGGCGTCTCTCTTGTGGGCAGTGTCATCCAGCAAGCCTCTCAAGTGCCCCTGCCCTACGCGGAACAGGCGCGACGGTGAGAATGCCTCCAGAAGTTTCCTTCTTGCTTGTATGCATCGAGCAATGCGAGCGGTGCAGATCATGAGTTCTGATTTGATCTCAGAACCCAAGAGATTGCAATGTTGGAGCCTTGCTGCATGGTTTATGTATGGACAATGAAGTGAGATCTGATTTGACAGGGGAGAGAGGCCGCCCTCCATGGACAGCGGGCTCGTCACTGGGCTTCTGAGGCGCTTGTTTCCTGCCTGCCTGCCCAAGGTAATTTTCCCTCAGTTGCAATCCTGCTCTTCTCACATGTCATGCTTTCATACAAGGCTTGTCTTGTATGCCATCAAGACTAATGAAGGTCTGCAGAGCACCAAAGACTGTCAAGGAATTTCATGTCTGCACACAGGCGGCCCTCTCCAGAGGCATTCAGCACAGCAGCCCCCTGGTGCGCTACGCCACGCTGTGCACGCTGCGCCAGATACTTGAAGCACTCCACTTGGCGCTGGCGGCTGCGAGCGAAGCAGCTGAGTGGGTGGATCAGTCACAACCCAGCGCTGCCTCGCAGCAAACTGACACTGTCAGCATGACAGACCCAAGACTCCAGGCTGTAGCCACTCATTCTGGGGAAGCACATGCAGCAGAGATGACAGACATGGATCTTGCGGCAACAGAAGGGGAAGTGATGGACATTGATGAAGCAGTGCACACAGCAGCAGAGAGTGGTGATCATGGGGAAGCAATGACAGGTGTTCCTGTGCAGACAGCATCTAGCCCAAGGGAAAGAAAAGACACTGTGCAGCCACCAGCACAAGGGAACGAGGGGGAAGCATATAGGCAGGCAGATCAGGGCCGCCTGAGAGGCAACGCCTGGCGTGGCTTTCTGGGGCGCCTGCGCAGTGCAGCTAGGGGGCGCCTGCCCGACCTCCAACCGCTACTGGCTCTGCTCGCCACGCTGCATGCTGACATCCAGTCAACCCAGGACAAGCCCCCTCCTGTAGAGGTGACTGATTTTTCCTGTCACCATGTATTGAGGCAATTTTGAAGGTGCACCCTGTCGTGCTAGCAGTTCAGTGTTCCAAGTGCACTACATTTTGAGAGGTTTATCACTCAGGAACTACTTCTTATGCTCATCCGGGTACTAATTGGCAGGTGGGCGAAGAAGGTAATGCAGATTTTGTGACGGCTGGCGGCATGAGCAGTGCACAGATGACACTTGTGCAGCTGCTGGCTGTGCTGCGCGGCTACCTGCGCTGCATGCCCGAGACCTTTGCCGAAGCGCGCTTTGATATCTCCCGGCTTCTGCCAGAGGCACGTTCTATCCTTCTTGTCACGCCTCTTAGTGCTCCCCCCTGTGTGAATGCTTTTCAGATGCTCGGTGCTCATCATCTGCTGCAAACTCTGCAAACTCTTGTCACCACTTTGGTGTGGTGACAAGAAAATGTGATTGCCTTCTCTGCAGGACATTTTGAGTCACCCGCCGATTGTTCAGCATGGCATCCTGGGGCTAATGGAGGCAGGAAGCTCTGTGCACAGCCCCAGCGAGGCATCCCTGTCAACCGGACACGTCTCATCTGCCGCTCTGACGCCCCTGCTGCGCCTGCTGTGCGGCTCAGAGCTTCCAGAGATCACCGGCGCAGCCGAGGCAGTCTTGAGACAGCGCCTGGAGGAGGCAGTGGGCTTGGAGGACAGCCCTGCAGAGGTGCACCTGTGGCTGGAAATGCTGCCCTCACGACTGGGCAGCCCTGAACAGAGCAGGTGACAATCTTATCCTTAATTCTCTCGGGCCTAGCTGAATGCATGCCATATTGCACACTAGGTACATATGCACTTACATCTACTTAATATGCACCAGATTCTACAGGATTGGATCCTAGCAGGCCCTCAATCTTCCTTTTATTGATGGCGTTGATGTGAGCTAACGCGTTGCCGCACGGGGAAATTTGAATTTGAATTTGAGATGCATGCATGCCAGGTGCGCGGATGCCGTGGCAGGCTTCCTGGCAGAGGCTGTGGCGCTGCTTTCGCGCAAGCCCCAGGAGTTCCACGAGGCCGAGCGAGCCATCCTGTCTCCGCAGACATCCACCGGCAATGCCATGCGGCACGGCCAGCACAGCCTGCTTGTGGTGGCGGCGTTGCGCCAGGCAGTGCGAGTGGCGGCTTCTACCAAGATGCCCGCTGACGCGCGCACCGCCATTGCCTGCTATGTTGCCGGTGAGCTGGTAATTGTGCAGTCCTGTTGATGTACCTTTGTTGTATTGCAACCAGGTTCCAGAGGTGCTGGGTCCTTACACTCAATCACTTCTTCTACCTTTTCCTTGGTTGCGTCCGCAGTCTTTCAGTAATGCTGGAAACGTATCAGCGACTGCATCGCATTCCCTTTTCAACATTTTATGGGAACCTCATATACAATATGCATGTGCATGCAGGAGCCCTGGGGGCACTCTTGCGGGTCCAGGCACATGCTGAGCCTCTGGTGCTCGTCATCGTCGGAGTGATCAGGGCAGAGGCAGCCCAGCTCAAGGCAAACCCGCCGAATGCTCTTGCCGAAGCGGATGGCGACGCTGCCAAGACACCTCGCAAGAAAAGAAAGCATAAGGAGGACCGTGAGGGGACAGGAGATCAGAGCGGGGCAGCTCTGAGTCTGCCCATAGAAGCGCAGCCACTGGCGTCATTGATGGAGCTTGCACAGAGAGTGCTCTTGAAGGAAGCCTCTGGCGCCACCGCTGTGCAGCTAGAGACTCCAAGAAGGTCGTCAGGTGTGACTGCAAACGGTGGGATGGCGGCACCGGTGACCAGGGAGGCAAAAAAGCGCGGGAAACAGGCAGATGGGGGCAGTGCAGGAGGGGAGGTGACCACTGAACCTGCCTCATCAGGCTTCCCAAACGAGCAGCCAGGAGGGTTGTCAAGCAAAGAGGTGCAGGTGGCAGGGTCTGAGGAGGCAGACGCGCAGCTGTCAGCATACCTTGAGCAGAGCATGAGCGCAAGAGCACTGGAGCCGCTGCAGCTGCAGACAGTACTGCTGTGTGCGCCAGCCGCGGCAGTGGCCGCCAAGGTGCCTACATTGGCGCGCCTTGTCACACAGCAGCCAGAAGAGCAGCAGGACGGCTGTCTGCAGGTCCTCATCAGGGCGTGCCAGGCGCACTCGGTCCCTGTATTGGGCAGGGAATCTGCAGCCCAGCTGATGTCGGGCGATACCATCAAAGGAGATGAGTGGAGGGGCCTGGAGCGTCTGCTGGATGCCAGCCCTGCCTCACTGTTGCTTCTCACTGCCACGTCACTGCCAGGTGGGCACATCCTGCTGCAAACTTCGCCATAGCACTCCTGCATTGTTGTAGCATTATCCATTCTTGACAAAGAAAAGTATAATGACTGATGAAGCCTAGTCAAGGAGGAGTGGGTGCCCGGTGATGACCACACGAAGTCACAACAAACACTGACGGGACTTTGGTCGGTACCTATCAATGATGAATATGACAATCATCTTTCGGGACTGAGGGCACCCACTCCTTACAATTTTGACACAACAAATTTCTCTCACTAGATTTCTTCTTCCAAATAGCTTAATTAATGTTGCTCACTGTTGCTGCTTACTGCCATGTCACTGCCAGGTGAGCACACCCTGCTGCAAAACGCTGTTATATCATTCATGCATTGTTGCTGCCTTTTATATGTCTGACAGGCGCAGCAGTAATGACTGCTGTAAGCTTGTGTCAAGGATAATTGGGTGCCCGGTGATGACTACACGAAGTCACAACAAACACTGACGGGACTTTGGTCGGTACCTATCAATGATGAATATGACAATCATCTTTCGGGACTGAGGGCACCCACACCTTACATTGCAGGACATCAGGAGCTTTCCTGGGCTGCTGCTTATCATGTCTTACATACTCATTGAATGTGATGGTGCATGCGCAGGAGAGGCGGAAGCAGTGCCTTTGCTCAAGCGGCTGCATGAGCGATTACTAACAGCATCCCCACAACAGGCCATAGTGCCTATCTTGGCTGCATTGGCCTGCGTCCCACATGCCAGCAACCCTTCCACCTTGACGGCTCTCTTTGAGCTGGTCACTGCTGGCCTGAAGGTGTGCCTTGCCTCAGATTTGCCAGACACATGCAGCCTATCCCTGAAAATCACAAGGAGCTCCCTCCTTACTTCGTAGATGCTTGCCTTTGTTTGAATAGTCATAAAAGCTGTATGTGGTCATGCAGGCAGGTGTTGAGGGCAGCATCCATCCTGATACACCCCCTGCTGTGCTTGCTGCAATCCTGGGCCACCCTGCTTTGGCCCAGTACCTGACAGCGCGTAAGGACGCTCTTAATCTGGAATGGACAGCTGAGCGCGACAGACAAATCACACGGCTCCTCTCGCAGTTGCTTTCTGGCAGCACTGCTCCTGGCATCTCCAAGGACATTGCTGACACCATCCAGAGACTGACCAGGCCATTCCTTGACAGGTAAGTCCCATAGGAATGACCATGTGCTCATCTCTATAAATGGATGACGGCCTGGGACTTGTCCAGCCTGACGAAGTTATATCTGTGGATGAGCTTTATATGTGCCTGTATTCTAGTCCCACACCTATACAAGTCAGCCCAGATGTGAGTGATCTTCTGCATGCAGGGCAGTGGAGGCTCTGTCATCATGTCAGGCTGCAGAGTTGCAGAGCACTGCGGATTGGCCATTGGCTGATGCATGCATCACTCTGGCAGTACATCTGTCTAGCCGCCAATTGGCCGCTCTCGCCACAAAGTTACTGTCAGCAGCTGGAGAGGAAAGAAGCCCATGCGCGGCCACAGCAGCCTTGCTTGAGGCCGGCCTGTCTTTGGCGGATAGGCTCTTTGCCACCTATCGCAGCAGCAGTTCTTCAGATGCCGCCGGAAGGGACAGTGGCTCGCTTGCGGCTGTGTTGAAGGCTGTGGCCGCTCTTGTGGCCAACGGCCAGTCTGCTGCCGCGGAGAGGTGCCTGGCAGAGGCGCTCTCTGTGCGCTTCTCACAGCCCAGCATGATCGCATGGTGAGTAACTTGTTCCATCAGCACCCTGAAGACACTGCCATTTGTTGCTGACCTTTGGTGCATGGTCACTTCTCTTAAGTTTCTCGTCTTTGCACAATCAAGGCTAGCGTTCCTTGTCCTAAAAGTGGCATGGTGCATTGCCGCACTTGCAAAGGGGGAGATGACTCTTTATGTCGTCTGTTACTGCATATCCTCCCTGGTCCAGGCGAATATATCAAGATTAATGGTGAGCGCTGTGGATGACACACCCCGCGCTCTTTTATCAAGAGAGGATCATGAGTGAACTGTGCGCACACAGGTACATGACAGACAACGCAGCAGGCATCCTGGAGCTCTGCGTTGCCCAGCCAAGCGACCTTCGCAGCCGGATAGGAGCAACCCTGATCGATGCCCTGCCTCCATGCAGAGCAGCGCTCGCCGATCTTCTGCCTGCACGCCTACAAGCACAAGGTGGGTGTCATATTTCCATGTATCTTACAGTATTGCTCGAGCATTCCTGATGGCATCTCTGTGGAACAGTTTTCCTGGAAAGCAACTTTGTTGAGTCCCATGGTGTGGGTGGCAGTAAATACAAGATGACCAGATTTGTTGTTTCTGCCCTTTCAGCAGATGGGAAGGAGGCGTTGGCGCTGCTGCTTCCTCTGATGTATGCATACCTGCGGCATGCCAGCCAGGCACAGCAAGCGCCTGAACAGGACCCTGTTGTCCTCTCCTGCAAAGACCGCCTTCTTGCCTACATGGTGTCAAAGCGGAAACCTGCTGGTGCGTCCGTTTCTTCTAGCCTGCAATAGCTGAACGTTTCTCTTTACTCAGAGAGCCTTCGGGCCTAAATTGGCAGCGCCCTTCTCATTTCGCATGATGTGTTGTTGTGTTTAAAACGCAGGTGCGAGTGTATCCGTCAGCCGAGGTGCAGCTGCCTCCCTGGACAGCTTTGCTGCGCCCGTCCTGCGGCAGTGCATGATCATGTCACCGCCCAGTGAATCTGCTGATGCCGCCTCCCTCTTGCAGCGCTTGTGCCCTGCCGACGGCTGGCAGCCGACTCCAGTACAGACTGAGGCGCCAGCTGCATTCATGATTGGGCCCCTGCCAGCCCAGCAAGCGGCCACTGCAGAGCTTCTGCTGCATGGTGTCTTAAAGATCGGTGTGAGCGAGGAGGTGGCTGCAGAGTGCATTGTGCGCTTTGCTCAGGCTTGCACGGCGACGCTCGCCCGGGTCATGAAGCCTCAATCGGGTGACAATGCGGTGAGCATGCATATATGCGTCTCTTCATTTTTTGCGTCTAATCGATCCAGGACAGGGTCTCCTGTTGATGTTACGTTGCTGTTCCCGGACAGAAGCAGGTCAGCCCGGTTTGCTCAGAGAGTGTGAGCTTCGTCCGGAGTAACATTATACCAAGAAAAGAGTCCGCCATGCAAATGACTTGACATAACGCCTGATGAAGGCCATTCTCCACATGCAGGCGTCAGAGCTCCGTGCGCAGCTGTCCGGCTACATGGATGGCGTGATCAAGACCAGCATTGCTGCACACCTGGGCGCGGTCATGTCTGCAGAGGCATTCCCTGCGCTGTGTGCTGCACTCAGCAAGCTTGCCCTGTCCATCCTTCGGCACCGGTTCAGCGATGCTGCAACAGTCTCACTTCTGCGGAGGCTCTGTGCTGCCTTCATTCCCAGAGCTCGTGATGAGGGCATCTCAGGTGTGGACCGCTACTTTGCAGAACAAAACTTGGTTTTGCATGCCTCTATGTAGGAAAGTAACTTGCATCAGAGAGCTGCTGAGCGGGAGAGCACAGCGGCTTGTAGTGTGTCATTTGCGGCTTGCCTGGACCTCCATGTCCTTACATTCCAGAAAAGTTTGCCTCAAAACTTGCTGTGTGGCAGGTGAATTGAAGAGCAGCGAGGTTGCAAGGACGGCAGCCAAGCTCGCCGAGTTGCTGATCTCGCACTCCCAGTTCGTGCCCATGATGCTCAGCAACCCGGGAGACTGCCCCCCTCCGCTGCCAAAGCTGGCTGCAAACCTGCAGCAGCCGCTGTCATCAATCCTGCCCCTTGTGGAGCTGGATCCTGTGGACACTGGGATGGTGGGTTTCTCTGTCTTAGACATACTAAGAATGACCCTTGCTATACGTTTCCCCTACAGCTTCTGCATCATGATCATGCTCTGCAAGCAAGGCCAACAACTTAGAATCTAATAGTTGCACTGTTGATTGTGCAATGCTGTATTTGAGCGAGGATGCTTTTGTTTGCCCAGGTGACCTCAGACAAGGCTGAAGTTGTGGGGCTGCTGGAGACTCTACTGGAGCTGCACAGGCATCATTTGCCAGGCGCGCTGCCCTCAGCCCTCCAGGAGGGGGTGGGAGGGCTGGTGCCTGTCTTGCTCAGCGGCTACGGGGCGTCATGCAGCGCTACAGACAGGGCCACACTTCTGCTGCTGCTGCTCATTAACAGCTGCTTATGTGAGGAGGAGATTGCAGCGTCACCTGCTGAAGCCATGGCTGTCTTGCACATCACCACGCTCTTCTCGGGGCCTCTGGCAAAGGCAGGGTGAGTGCCCTCAACACGCCCTTCACTTGCCAGGTTGACGATTCAAGTGTGCACTGTGGCAGACTCACTGCAAAATAGGTTGAAAATAATGCAATTTGCTACAGTATTCAGTGCATTTCTGTCGTGCAGGTTCCTGTGGGGACCGGCAGCAAGGGCAGAGCACAAGGCTGCGTCAGACGCTGACGAAGCTGTGCAACCTTCAGCAAGGTGCGCATTCCAGAAAGCTTCTCCCTGCGTGTCTGCTGGCATCAATAGCTATCATAACCCAAGGCACACCCTTTGCAAGTAGTCAGACACTGCCCGAACATGGGAATGTATCTTTCGCTGCAGGGCGGCAATCATCAAAGACACAGCAGTCTTAGATGCTCGCCGGTCCGCACTGAGTGTCATCCACTACCCTGAGCAATGCTCGTTGCTACCGGCTGGTGATCAGCCACTGGAGGCACTCTCCAGCAGCACCCTGCCTGCATGCAGTGCTGCTGGCTATGACCCAGCTTTCCTCGTCCCCTTCACCTTGCAGGTACGACAAGCTCCTACACTCCATTTGTATGCAGTGACAAGTCCTTTGACATCCTTTTAGCTTCACCTTGTCTGCGGGAGCACCTTGCTTGTAGGCAGGAACAGCATTGAAGCATATTCTTTCCTACTCATTTGAACTGTTGACATCCAGTTGACCCTGCTCCATCTTTGAGCATTCACTGAGTTGATAGTCTGCCAAACTGAGCAATGCTTTCTTTCCTGTGCGCAGGGGCTGAGGGATGGCAGCATTGGGTGCTTGGACATGGCAAACTGGGGTCTCCTGTCCCTGCTCCTGCGCTGCCTAGCGTCCGCAGATGACGCGCTCCGAGGCATGGCCTATGAGGCACTAGCGCTGTACGCCGACACCCTGGAGCGCTCAACCTTCAGGTATGTTGCTGCTCTCTACTGTCAGCTTATATACTCAACAAATTATCCTGACCCCAGGAGCTCGCTCCTCAATACAGCACACAAAGCTGCTGACACGAGCTGACTGCTTGATGGCAGAATTGCCGAGGACTGACCATCTCAGTCTGATCTCTCACCCTGCTTGGTTTACATTCCCTTCTTCTCGAAGTGCGGCCGCTTAATGTCACCTGTGATGATGCGCCCAGGCATCATAAGACTTCACTGCTGAACAACAGCACAAACCTGCTGTTGAGAGCTCAATTGTCATAGTTGTCCTGTGAGGGGATTTATCTGCCTCACAAACCTGACTGGCGGGAGGCGGTATGAATACCGAGCACCGTTGATTGTCTTGCTTGCATCTGGCGATTCAACGAAGGGTAGGATTTGTGGTGCCCCTCAAATGCAGCTTGTCTGCAGACACTCCTTGCCTCTGGCAGGAAAAGCGTGTAATGAGAAGAAGAATTGTAATTCATTTCTGTGCTGTTGTTTTCGCATATAAGAAGGAGAGTAATAATTTTGATTCTGGAACCAATTCTGAAGTGTGCATTGCATGTGCGCGCAGGGAGAAGGCGCAGCTGGTGCTGTTGCTGCGTGCGCTGCGGCTGTCGGTGGAGCGCCCCTTCCAGCGGCTCCCCACGCTGACCGCGCTGTTTCTGTCCGAGGCCGCCTGCGCGCTGGCGCACCCGGCCGCCGACATGTACCCCGCCCTCAACCGGCACCTGCTGCGGCGGGCCACGTTGGACATCCAGGTAGGGTCATTGGTCACTGTTGATCCTATCACATCAAGTATTTACAGACGTATGCCGCCTTTGAAAAGCACACACACACCCCTGGCAGGGAATCTCCAGCCTTTTCAGCAGTTCTCATGCTAGTCTGCCCCTACCATATGTGAGCAGAGACAGTGGCGATGCCTGCAAGTGCCTCTGACTTGGAACAAGGTGGACGAAATCATGCAAAGTTAGTATGTCCATGACTGTATTAGCCATGCCTTCATGCTGCATGTCAATAATCAGTCGTGAAAGAGACCTGCCTTGTGCGCAGGATGCGCCCCTGCTGAAGCAGCTGCTGAGCAGCGGCGGGCAGGAGCAGGCAGCGGAGCGGCTGTGGCTGCTGCGGCTGCTGGCTGCAGGCTTCCGCAGCTCAGCAGATGGGGATATCTTCAGGTGGCCACATCACCCCATCCACTTGCTGCACCCTTGCGAGTACTGTAATTTCTGTGCCAAACAGGCTCCCTGCACCCTTGTGAGCTCTTCGACGTCTGCAATAATGCTCAGATACTCAGTGCACTATTGTATGTGCTGTTATCTCCGCTCTGACACTCCCTGCATCCTTGTGGGCGCTGCTAGTTCGACGAAGACATTCTCGGTCATGAGCATGAGCAGCCTTTTCAGAGGGTTTTGGCTTGTGAGGTTGACCATGCAGTCAGTGCAATGTGGATGGTAACAGAAATATGAATCATGTCCTTGGTGTGCAGGCGGCGCTTTGTGGCAGAGCTGCTGATGAGCCTGCATGACTCGCCGCTGGGGGACGCCGCGTTACAGGCGGTCGCCCTCAGGACGCTGTGTTCGGCTCCCCAGTGTGCGCCCACTTACGCGGCAGACCTGGTCCAACATGCAGGTACGGACTTTCTACTTTGTGCTTCTTATTTTTTTATGAAAGAGTCATGAATATGTCTGTGTCTTTTACTGGTCTCCAGACGGGGGCTTGCACTTTATGGCACCCTCATATGCTGATGCATTGGACTACTGAAAGGCAGAGACCTTGAGAGACAGAGGTATGTGCGCAGGTGTGGTTTTTTGGCTGGCAGCAGTTGCACAGGAGGCTGTTGCAAGGCATGGCTCAGCAAATGCCTCCGTCTTTCCCTCCTTGCTCCTGAGGTGGGCCTCGACTGAGACTCTGTCCTCGCGCAACACTGCACAGCACCTTTTGAACATGCTATCTGCTTTGACTAGTCAATTCAAGCTCTGAGGGTAACAGTGCATTCTGCTTGCGCCTGTGGCAGGGTTGTGTCAGCGCTGCGTGGCTTTCTGGCTGCCAAGGCGTGGAAGGCCAAGGGCCGCTCTGGGGGCCTTGGCATCCTGGATGCCTTTGCAAAAGCCGCAAGCTCTCTATGCAGGACCCTAACAGGTACAGCTTGCCAAATTGCTCTCTAATGGTTGGAGTTCTGTGCAACAGCCACCGTGCCAAGCTCATTGTCTCAGGAAACTGTCGACTGGGACGATGCCTAAATTCTGAGCAAGAATCACAGTGCTTATCTTGGGCTCGACAATTAGTCAAAGCAACTAAAGCTGACATGAGGTGTCAGACCAAATATTCAGCGCCAGTTTGCATGCATGCAGGCAGCGCGAGTGCCTGCCGGGACAGCCAAGTTGTGGAGGGCGTCGTGGGCTTTGCTCTGGATGTGCAGCAAGCAGCGCTCAGTGGGAGGTCCAGAGTTTCTCTGCCCACGTTCACCCTGCTGTCGTGGGCTGATGCCAGAGCCCTGGTCCATGCACTGGGGCCGCAGGCTGGGCAGAGCACGCTGGAGCTGCTTCTGCAAGTCATGCTTGCACTGCCGCCACCTGAGACGGTGCGTCGAGTGCTGCTTTTCTTACCTCCCTGTACCATCTCAATCCACTTTTATAGCATTCGGGTGAGTTCCAATGAAAGTATCCACAGGGAAAAAATTGAAAAAGGTGTTGTCTGCAACAGGGTCTGGCTGGTGACTTTGGAGACGTGGCGGCATGGATGCAGGATGCATGTACTTGCCTGCTGTCCCCTGAAAAGAAAACTCAGCAGCCCACACAAGCATTTACTGCAGAGCAGCTGTGGGCGGAGAAAGCGCCTCCAAGCCACCACTTGGTGGCGCGCACGCTCCTGTGGCTGTCCGTCTGTGTGGCGTCCGGTTCAAGGCTCAGGGACACCGGCCTGAGCACGGATGCAGGCGTGTTCAGTACTGCGCATGCGGCGGCGATGCCATCGGCTGTGCCGGCTGCGGACTGCTTTGGCAGGGCGCAGCGGCTGGTACAGCTCTACACTGCTATGCACCCGCGCTTGCAGAAGGAGGTCAGGGGCCCAATGGTGCTGCTGGCAGCGCATGTTCTGCAGCCGGCTGCTGCCATGCTGCTGGGAACGCCGCTGGACGGCAGAAATGCTGCCGATCAGGTGTGCAGTCTGCAGATTGTGCTCGCGTTGCCTTTTGGTCATCTACGTATATGCTGCGATGTTCTCAAAATAGGATGCCACAAGTTGAGACGGTGGGATGTGGCTTTAACAGTTGCATGTTGTGTCGTGCAAGAGTTAGAGATCTCCAACCATACTGACATGAACTGTAAGAGGTCCTAGAATTTCTAAGCCCTTGCGTGCATGCAGGCCATGCCTTTGGCTGAGAAGCGGCCGGATCAGGAGCGATGGTCCTTTCTGCTGGGAAATACACTGCTGCGCGTGCTGGGCCATCTGCCAGTGCCTGCTGCTGGGGCGGCAGAATGGTGGTTCAGGGCTGCACGCCCAGAACAGCCCTCAGGACTGGGATCTCAGCAGGAGCATGGAGACGAGAGTGCCAGTGCAGCCGCAGAGCTGGGCATGGTGATTCTGTCAGAGCTGTGTTTAAAGCAGCCTGCGCATATGACATGCGCGCTGTTGGGGCGGTGGGAACGTGGGAGTGAGGGAACTGTGAAGAAGGAAATGGCGGAGCTGGAGTTGCTGCATGCCAGAAGGATAGCTTTGAATCTGGGAACATGAGCAGTGATACTCTGAATGAGAGTAAGGAACTATGCCTCGAACATGATGAGAATAGAGGAATTTAAAGGCCACATGGAATGACCTGCTCTTGTAGATTATCGCCTGCCATGAATCGGAACCTGGTTCCGGAAGGCCTCTGCAATCGTTTCGTTTTGTTCCTGTACAGCGAAGTACAGAGATATTCAGTAATTTACACGGTGTTGCAGCCATCAGGGAAGCGCAGTTTCTGCCCGCCCTTCACCTTTGCCGGTACCGATCTAAGGGGAGTTCCCCTTGGCGAAAGGACGCCTGTATCAGTTGGGAGGACGCGATCGCCCATCCACTGCCTGATATAATATTAAAAGGTAAAGAGGACCATTGAGAGCGGTCGTGAGTGGCCGTGCATCCACGCCCGGAGAGTTGCGTTTCAGATCTGCCATGTGTGTCAAGCTGTCGGGCACTGTTCCGGTCAATTTCGGCCCCGATGATACCGCATCTGAGGTACATGAGGCCATCGAGTATGTTAGTATTCATCGGACTGGTCTCGGAGACCGAAGGGCTTGGGAACCAGCATCAGCTCAGTGTGCTCCCGAGACTGAGTGACATCACGTACTATAGAATGCAAAGTCATTCAAATACACCATAACTTCTGGTTTCGAATGTCTCTGCAACATCTTGGTATATTTATGGAATGCATGCACAGTGCTGGTCGGTCAAGAATACTCTTATCCTGCAGACGATCTGCAGTCTCGGTGACTGCAGTAAAGCTGCAAAGACCTTGTTTACATGGAAATCCTGCATCACTGGCGTTGATTAGTGCGAAAGATAATCCGCAGTGATCCATAGACGATTGCCAACATACTTTTATGAGTGCCAGAAGCGATACATTTTGTCAGCTAGGCACCAAGTTCGTTTATGGGAAATAAACCATGGGTGTGCGTCGCGCAGGACTCGTCTTGGAGGGGCATTCACTTCTGGCAGCTATGGCTGGACGGCAGCGCTGCAATAGTGTAATTGCAGCCGCGGCTGTGTGCCTGCTTATCGGCCTTGTGGCTGCACAGCCTAGGCCCCCCCAGGGCGGCGGCCCTCGCGGCCCTGGAGGTCAGCACCACCGCTACTGGCAAATCAATTGTGAAATGATGCAGTCATCTGATCTCATGTGCCGCAAGATTGCCTCAGCAGGGTGATCTTCACCTGAGCATGACGGTCCTAAGGTAGCGAAATTTCTTGTATCCTCTTCAGAGATGCAGAATTTGTAAGTGCTGTTCCATGTCTGCACAGGGGGAGGACCAAACCAAGGTGGTGGCCCAGGAGGGGGAGGTCCACAGCAGAGCGGACCTGGCAACCCCCAACAGCAGCAGGCGGGTTCCTGCCCTGCATCGCATCACAATGCATCTGTCAACGAGTCGCAAGATTGCCCACTCGTTTGTCTTGTATATTGGACACACAGGAGGGGACCAAAATGGATCAGAGCAAAAATACAAGAGTTCCCAGGCCAACAGCCTTCTTAAAACCTTCAAGAGGCTGGGGAAGCTGAATGATGTATCAGGATCCCAACGTTGAATGATGTGAGTCTCACTGCGCTGCTCTGAAGATGCAAGATGCCAGATAAGCTGGATGCGGACTGGGGAGCCGAGTGCCTGGAGAATGCATGCTGACTATGAGTGCGTGCTGTGCGCAGAGCTCCTCTCCGAGCCCTCCACCGCCGTCCCCAGAGTGGTCCCCCTCCCCCACCTGGACCCCCTCCCCAACATGGACCCCCTCGCCCACGTGGACCCCCTCTCCAACGCCCTCGCCAACCCCTGAGGCAGCCGCCACCGGGAACGCCCCTGCACCTGCGCCCGCTGCAGCCAGGACCCCCAAGGACTCCATCCTGGCCGTCACCATGCAGATCACTGGCTCCCAGGCAATCCTCTCCCACCTCTGTCAAATTCATTGCTCCTGTGGAAAGCATGCAAATTAATGCGAAAAAATTTCTTCATCATATTCCATATGATGTGAATCCTCATCTTAACATGTGAAAATGATCTTTTCATTTTCTCATGTGCCGATGGACCTAATGCTAGCTCCTTGATATCACGAGCGTGGCTTCAGACGACTTTTGTTTGCCATGCTGTACTTACTGATAATGCTTATTCTGGGACAGACATATGGTTTAATGGGGCTGAGTCTGTTGTCAACAGGTCATCCCGTTCAACAGCCAGAAGCAGAGCGCTGTCATCTCCGGCGTTGCAAACCTGCTTGGGGACGGCATCTTGCCCTCTGACATCACCTTGACCCTCGTGAAGGACTCCTCCCAGGTGTGGGCCCTTGCATAATCCACCGCGATTTGGTCTCACGTGCATGACAAGTTGCCGCAGGCACACTGTGATCAGCCCAAATGAATAAGGAATTTGAGAGCAACATGAAATAGATAGAAATTGAATGGGTATGAATGATTGTTTGACGGCTTGCATGTGACGATGCAGTCGAGCTCTGGCAGCAGCGGGGGCCGCCGCCTGCTGCAGTTGCCGGGGCAGCCGCAGATGCCCCTGCCCGGCCCCGGGCAGCCCGGGCAGCTCCCCGGGCAGCAGCGGCCGCAGCAGCAGCCGTCAGCGGTGGCCGCCAATCCCATGGCCTCCACACAGCAGGCCTCCACCACCGCAGCAGCTGCCGCAGCCCAGAACACAGCGGCACAGCAGGCGCAGCAGGCAGCACAGCAGACGGCACAGGTGGCGGCTGCAGGCGCGCTGGACAGCAGCACGTGGCAGGGGAGCGAGGCGGGAGTCGAGGTGCAGCTGCAGGTGAAGACGTCGGCGGCTGCCGCGCAGCTGCAGCTGGACCATCTGCAGCGCGCATCCAACAACAACGAGCTCAAGTCGCTGTTCTCCAACCAGGGTGTGCATTCTGCACCTTGCTGCCCAGTGCACAGCCAGACAGTGTCCCTGTTATTGTCATAGTGGTGCTCATCCTTGATGTAATCTGTCAAACCATAACACCGACAAGAGCAAAGCCTGCCTGCTGGTTTCATGCGACAGAACGGGACACCCTTTCTGTTAAATGCTGTAAGGCACCATGCGCGTACTGACACTATGTGATGTGACCTAGACAATGTGCAGAATTGGATCTGTCTTGGCAGATCAGTGCATGACAGTGTGTGGGGGCTCATGCTGCAGGCTTGCAGGCGCAATCCCTGTCCATTGTGGGCTCGGAGATCCGGCAGAACTTTGAGCCGGCAGCGGCCGCTCCGGCAGTTATGGCCAGCCCTGTGCCTCTCCCTGCACCCGTGGCTGCCCCCCCTGTGGCGGCAGCTACGGCCGTCGCGGCTGCCCCCCCTGTGGCGGCGGCTACGGCCGTTGCCACTGCCCCCGTCCAGTCAGCTGAGGCGGCTGCCGGTGGCGGCGCCCCCATTGTGGCACCTGCAACCGCTCCTGGTCCTCTGGTGAGCTGCCCACCTAGAGATTTCCAGCGACAAATGAACAGCACAATGTTACACAGGATGACAGCAGCGGGAGGCAGTTTGGACAAGGTGTCTATTTGTATTTGGAGGAGAAATTCAGTCTGCCTAGGCTGGCAAGCATCTGAACATATGCTGCATTGCTCTAGTTTTATGGACAAGCTCTGAGAGCTTGGTGCTTGGCGGTGCAGGGAGCAACTTCGGACCCGAAGGTGGCAGGGTCTCTGGTGGAGTACAAGGACGGCAAAGTCAATGGCATCCCTGTCTGGGTCTGGATCCTTGTGTCACTGCTGGTGGTGTCTGTTGTGCTCCTGGTCTCAGGTGCGTTCCTTTCCTACACCGTAGTGTCCAGTCACCCGGCACAAAAATTTTGATATTGAGCTTGCGGTTGCGGACAATACTAATGATTTATATGTGCGGAAAAGTGCTTGTGGGATGAAAGAACACTACATTCTGCCCCGAGAAGAGCAAATATAAGTTTGGCATGAGCTTGAGCTCGCATGCATACATGGCCATGTGTGTGTGAGACCTGGTCTGCTCCATTAGTGACATTGTTATGTCGCGCAGGCTATTTCGCCTTCAGGTGGTGGAGGAAATACCAGGCCGACAAGAAGCAGGCCGAGTACATCACAAAGGTGCGGCTTTGATCCCCAAACTCTCACAGACAATACCACAACACACTATTCCTTGACATATAAATGCGCAAGTGACGATATTTTGTTTAGCCCTCAATAACAAGCTATCGGATGAGGACATCCATTCTAGCAGCAGCAGAAGCATCTGATCATCGCCTGACCTGCCCCTGCACGCAATGTTTTACTTGATAGATGAGTCAGTATATGGGTCACTAAGTGCAGCACATGATGACATGCTCCCTTTGCCCCGCGCAGTACTTTGGGTCGGAGTCGGTGGTGAAGCCGTACAACCCTTACGCGGGCCGCAGCGAGAGCGTGGGATACAGCGCGCGACTGGAGAGCTCCGGCCTGGACCGCGGCCTCAGTAGCATGAGCGTCGCCGACGCCGGCCGCATGGCCTCCCTCGGCCGCACCCCCTCCATGAGGTAATTCTCACCTAATAAAATGGGGTAACAGAGTATAGATACTTGGATAAGTTGGTGTGAACATGTACCATCACCTGAAATGCACACGATTGATCAAGACAGAGTGCAAGACATACAAGACAACGTGAGCGCCATTTATGGGCTCCTGCGCCATCTTCACCCTAATTGCATTGCCGCATGTTTCATGGCATTTCTTGGCATGTGAGCACTGCACGGGATGCCATGCTGTGCTCGGGTTGGAAAGGTCACTGTCACCTTATATCCCTCAATACAACTTGCCCATGCGTTGCCCTTCATGTCATTATGTGTCTGGTACCATTTTGTGTTGCTGCAAACGAAGAAAGCACAAGTCATGCAGAGCAGCAGGTATGGCAGGGCTGAGACTGTCGTGTTGATGTGCGCAGGAGCACGCGGTCGATGACATCAGCGCGGGGAACGCCGTCGCGCGCCGGTTCGGTGACACCTGGCAGCACGCGGCGGCTGCAGATGGCCAAGCCCAACCGCAGCGTGCTCAACACCGAGGCGCCGCCGCCGCTGGGCCGCAGAGAAATCTACATCTCTGAGACCCCCCGCCTGACCCACTTGAGGGAGTAGACCCCTGGACTGGCACATTGGTAGTCCACTGGACCCTAAGGCGCCAGGTAAAACATAAAAGTCCATGGTTGGACAGGCAGGATGCACAATGTGTAGCAGCCTGCAGTGGGGATTGGCATATCTGTCGAAAGAGCCGATGGTGTGCCAGTTCTTTAAATTCACTCTTCAAGCGCACATAAGCCATGCCAGGTCAAAGGGCATGGATGGTTTGTATTGCATGTACATCAGAAAGAAGGATTCCAGGACATAATCATCAATAGTGCCATGCCCCAGACCCCAGATGGCCTGCATGCATTGGCTGCTCATCAGACTGACTAGGATGATCTGTACCGACATGGATTGCCAGGGTACTGCCATATTAGTGGAAGAAGGCCGATTGGAAGAAGGACTGCTGTTTATTTGATGACAAACGATTTCTGTGTAGGTTACTAGCTAGTAATCTCTTTGCGGGACAAGTGCCATGCAGTCGATGCCGTCATGAGTGCATGCTGCAAACGGCGATCTTGAATTTCTTGCACGCAGTACAGTATAAATCGGCCATTGTAATGGACGCTCCTCATGAACACCGTATTGAGTGACTCAGATTCTCTTATAAAAATGCGCAAATGCAAATATGACAAAATTCAACTCGAGCCATCTCCAAATGCACGGTACGCCAGGCATCAGACATGTGCATGGCAAGGATAAAAATCGTAGTACCAAAATGGATGTCACTTTTACTGTCATCAGGCCGTGAGGGAGCCGATGAGCCAGTTCAGGTGCGCGCGCAGCTGCCTGGCAGCTGGATAGGGCAGGTCGCGGGGTACACCCACTCTGTCTCTAATATACTCTGCTGATGCCACCACTGCATCCCCCGGTAGATTCTCCCCATCACCCACTCGCAGGCTGCTCGCATGTGCTCCCTCCAGCAGAGCATGCGCCACATGCCGCAGGCCTGATGCACCACACAGTTTGAGAGCCTTGCACAAATCAATGCTTGCAACACCAGGCTCATGCTGCTGCGCATCATACAAAATGCAGGAAGCACATGCTCTGCCTACTGAGGTGAGGCATGATTACACACAGGGGTACAAACACAACGGCTGCAAGATATCACCACTTGCAGGACTCACAAACCCTGGGCACCACGATACGCACTCCAAACCCAATCAAGTGTATGGTGCTGATATGTCACCATGCATCCATGAGCATCTGATACACGTGTTGCTAAAGTGCCCAGATCCTAGATCTCGAAGACCTGGAAAACGTGTAATATAAATAGTGCAGCAGAACATGCGGTAGCATACCTGCATCCACGGCCTCAAGGAAGTTTTCCCCAGCAGTGGCAGTGGGATCGGACAGCGGGGCGCTCACAGGCCGCCGTCCTGGCTTGCCGCAGCCGCGCGCAGCGAACTTCGCAATGGCGCCGTGGTTGCCCACCAGCCGCGCCGCTGCCCTGAGCCGGTCCAGTGGCGGATCCTCACCTGCACCCATGCCAACAGAAATGCTAAAGCACCCATCAGTGCAGATTTGTCAGCGCCTGTGACATTTCCAAATACATCCTGGACCCCTGGAAGGCATCTTTCGTCATAAAATACTCATGGTGCAAACCAGGTCGAGGCACAGCAGCAGTTGGGCGGACCTGGGGAGTAAGGTTCTGGGAACGAGGTGGCGTTGAGGGGAGGCAGGGGAAGCTGCCAGCTCTTGCCATCCACTCCGTCGATGGCAGCCGCCGCCTCATCCGCGTCAGGCACCGATGCGCACCCTGTACAAGCCAGCACTGGCTTCCTTATAACTCTGGTACACGAACACTTTGCTTTTCAGCATCATGATCTGCCAGACAAGAGGAGAGAGGATGTTTATAAATACAGGCAGACAGGGTGAGATGGACGGCAATGGAATGCATACGCACAGTACTCTGCACATGGGTGCTTGGAGTGAAGGGCACACCTCCAAGCTGAGGTGGCAGGTCATGCACATGCGTGTAGAAGTCACTCCTGGTGCCAATGTATGCAGGTCGAGCCTCCATCGACTCAAACCACCTCTCCAAATTCTTCCACCGCCTGCGTGTGCAAACGGAGCCACATTGCACAACTGCCTTTGCAGCAGCACAGAACCAGGATTACAGCGTGAGGCAGCTGTCAAGTAGGTCATACCAAGCAGCCTGTGGTCAACATGAGGCTGATGCGCACCCGTCCCCGCGCACAGTGAGCCCCTTGTAGTACAGGATGGAGGCAGCAATGCGCTCCAGGAAGGGCGAAAACACAACGTCCACCATTGACAGATCCGCCCCGAGGAAGAAGGGCCCCCCCGCAGCCCCAAGTTCCCTGTCCACTGCATCCATCGTGGCTATGAACTCGCGCTTGTTGGCCTCGTGGCTCCTGCCCACAAGCAGCAAATGACTTTCATGCTAGGATTCCCATGCACCCGTGTTGCTCATGGAGAGGATCTGAGATTGTAATGTAGGAATGCTGCAGACATGAAGACAATCACAATATCCAGTGAGGAACACGTGCAGCTGCATGCAATCCCGAGATAAACAAGCCCCTCCAGGGCAGAAACAGCAAGACAATGGTGTGGGGAAGTTAAGGGCAAGCATGCTGTCAACTGTAGTGCGCAGAGCAAGCATGCAGTGGGGCAGAGGGATGGTGTGGGAGGAAGGAGCTTGCCAGGAGGTGGTGAGCCAGGAGAGCCAGTCTGAGAAGAGGCGGCGCTCCAGGCGCATGAGAGAGTCGGCACGCTGGCGCTCCTTGCTGCCCTTGGGCGGCAGCAGGGGCTTGTTGTCAGGGAAAGCCTCCTCCAGGATGCGCATGATCTCAGCGCTCTCCACGATCAGCTGCCCATCCAGCTCCATCGCCGGCAGCAGCCCTGAAGGCACCTGATCCCGAATACACTTAACCATCATTTACAAGCATGCAGTATGCGCGTAATTCAGATTCTAAAAGTCACAAAGAATTGTCCTGCGCGAGAGTGCAACGATGCCTACAGGTCTTTGTAGTCAACAAAGTTTTTCCCTGCGCGAGAGTGCAATAATGCCTACAGAAATGAAAGAACATGAAGTCTCATTGATGCGCCAAGGATTGCCAGACTGCGGACGGTGAGTGGCTTGCCAGGCAGGGGATTGAAGTGTACCTTGGCTGTGTACTCTGGCGGTTTGTCTCCGTAGCAGCGCATGTTGATCTTCTCCAGGGTGTAAGGGATCTGCTTCTCTTCCAGCTGCAGCCACACCTTCTGGCAGTAGGGGCACCAAGCGGCATGGTCCCTGTACAGCTTCACTCGAGGGGTACCAGGCTGCCCAAATGTCCTCTTCAGTGCCAGTGGGTTTGTGGGTCCCTGCAGGGACACTCGGTCATTGTGAAGGACAATATCATGGGCCTGCATTCCAACTAGCAATGTAATGAATAAGTACTTGGCAACACAATCAGGGGAACACAATCAGGGGAACACATAAATAGTTGGACACACATTCTCCAAGTCAGGCTGTTGCCAGTTGAGCTGCCTGCCCTTCTCCTCCACCAGCTGCTGCAAGGCCTCCCAGGATGGAGCGTTATCTGAGAACGTGGTTGTCTGCTTGCCAGCCTTTGCGCCAGGCTGGGTGACACAAGAACAATTGATCAGCCCTGGAGCTTGCACAGATGAGTTCCTTCAGAGCACCTTGTGCAGTCTCGTGGCAGCTCAAGCTAATCGTTGTCCCTCGTGGAGACATGATGCACCTGGTTTAGAAGACTCTGCAGGCTTCCCAACATGGAAGGAACTGATGGGATGCTGGCACGAGTTATCAAGGTGCTGTGTCTGTCGGAGTGTCTCAACGAGCTCCTCTCATGCAATGGTTGGGTGAGGTTCGATCTTCTTGACAGCAGAAGAGGAGGACAAACTGTGGATGGTAACACCCAACGCAAATGGCATGACATTCCTTGCGAGCGCTTTCAAAGATCACCGAGTTTGATCAGACCAGGATTTGGTTCTGAAGTTTGACAACAAAGGAGATTGACCACAAGTCAGGAATCGGCAGACAATCTCTGACTATTCCACCTTCAGATAGCCCAAGATACCTGAACGACAATGGTTCCAAATGGGGAAAGGAGGTAGGGAACTCATGAGATTTCGAGAGCGAATCCGTATCTATAGGGTTTCTCAAATGAAGGGCTCCGCGAGGCTCAGCCGAGTTTTGAATGAATGTACGAGTGTGGAATTTTCCTCCTTTACCGGCATTCCATCGTGAATGTTCCCATCGTGAAGAAGCAGTACATGCTTGCTGCATTGCGAGTAATAGGTAACAATCACTTTGCAATTTGGCGCTGCTCCCATAAGCTTAGCACTTGTATCATATTGTAGTACAGATCCTTTCCTATGTTCGCTGGATGTGTAGATTGTCATTGTAGCTTCTTCTCACAATCAACACGTCGATGATAGCTGCTTTTTGGGGGTTGAAAGAGAGGTAGAAAGGGGGGGAGCTTTCTGACATGGGGTTGCGTTGGGGAGTGGTGTTCAATTTGTGCGCCGTCGTCGTGGCCGCCGGGTGCGTTGCATACTTTGATGTACTGGTAACTAATCGTGGTTGTACGCTCCGACGGTTGTGCGCATTGAATTTCAGGGACCTGCAGCATCTAACAATATCGTTTTGCAGAAGTTTGCACCTAATCGACCAATGCCTTACAAACAACCAAAGAAACCTTAATTGCATTCGTGTATGCCATCAAGAATGTTGTCATGGTCATTACAGGATCGGTGCAGTCGCTTGGTTGAACCAGAATCGCAGACGAAAAGGACAGAAAGAGCCGGAGCCTGAGCATGGCAGGAAGCGAAGGGCATCTTTTGAAGATGATCGCAACATAAAAAGACGAGAAACGGAAGAGGTCGCCATTCATGGTGCGAGAACCCTCCAAGAAGTCTGCATTCAACACTGATGCTGCCTTTGTGCTTTGAAGTCCTGAATGTTGATAGCGTAAAGAGGCGATTGAGATGTCTTAAATGCTTGCAGCGGCAGCGACTGGGCTTCCTGTGACAATGGTGGGCTCGGTGCCGGACATGAGCGCGAACTGGGCTGCAAAGGTGGCTGTGAGCACAGAGCAACAGGCAGATGCGGTACAGATGGCGCAAGTGTACATCACCATGGCCCAGCAGTTCATCAGCGGTGGCCTCAACCTGCCTGCCATCGAGGCTCAGCGGTACAGCTCAGCCATCCTCACTGAAAGTACTACATTGCACTTCTGTTGCTTGATCATGGCAGCTCATGCCATGGAACATGGATGTTCTACATGTCCTCATCCTTGTTGGTCATGGCATCACAGGCAGTTCTATGGGGACCTGGACAGCACACACCCCACACCCCTGCAGTATGAGGATTTCAAGGTGCCCCTGGAGAAGGGTGCTGTGCGGCTGGGAATCCTGCAGCCCCCGCCAGCCCTGTGCAAGGCTGCAGGAGCAGCCGCATCAGCAATCGAGTCTGTCCTGCCCGCAGGTTAGTGCTTGCGCAACTTCTCGAGAGACATCTGAGGTGTTGGTATTCACCAATGTACATGTGGTATTCAGTGCGAGGCTGCTGTGTGGCAGGGTCCAAGCCGCACGCAACAGCTCCGGAGAGCATGCACATTACAGTCTTCATGACATCGCAGCCGGCCGACCCGCGCCCGGACCCCTTCAACGAGTTTGGCGGCGGGCAGAGCCGCACGCTGGCAGAGGGCCGCATTCCTGCCCCCCAGCCGCCTGTGCTGACTGCAGAGAAGGACGCCTTCCGCACCCTGGCCGCCCAGACATCCGCCCCAATCCTCGAGGTACATCCCAGCCCTGCCCTTCTGACATATCAACTTTCAGCACATCCTGAACACAGACAGTCACACAAGACTCTTCGTTGCATCCTCATTGTATGCAATACAATCGCGCAAATGTGGCAGTAGTGCTGATGATCACATGCCCAGGTACTGATGCTGTGTGACCAATTGTTCTGGGACAGGTGCACAGCATCGTCTTTGCAGCAAGCGGCACGCTGCTGCTGTGCTGCGTGGACATCAGCGGCGTTTTGGCCGGCCTCCGCACCAAGATTCGCAGGGTCTTCCCAGGTGCGCTTCCACTTGCCTCATACCTTCACTGTGAATTCAACCCCCTTATGTACCAAAACAACTCCAAGGTTGCAGCAGACCCTGCAGATTCCTGTTTTGTACAAATGAGCAATAGCCTGCCTGGAACACATGCAGAAGAAAGGGATCAGTCGTAACACCTACAATCAGTGCCTGTACAAGCTGGAAAGCACACATGCAAATAGGCTGAGCCAACGAGTTTCTGTGCTGCAGGGGGGCCGATGAAGCAGAGCAGCATCTTCCATGTGACCCTGATGCGCATCCTGGAGCCGCAGGCCATGAGCAGGGATCAGGTGGAGGCCATTCACACAGCCTGCCAGCAGGAGACAGAGCGGCTGAAGGGCACGCAGTTCACTGCCTCTAGCCTCTGGTATACTTCCCCTGTCTTTCTCTGGTGTTTTGTGATGTGCGTCCTGCCAGGACCCTTGTCAGAGTGGTGGTTGTAGGGAGGCGAAGCCTGCACTCCTAACCATAATTTCAGAGACGGTGTCAAGGCTGGGGATTCCTTCAGGCCTTATGTAGAGGTGGTGCCTTGCAGGTATGTGCAGGAGTGGCAGTTCACAACGGTGAAAGGCGAGCGTGAGGAGATGCCTTTTGCCAAGGAACAAAGCAGCTGAGGCTCATGCAAAACAGCTCACTTTGAATTCTGTTCGACTGCAAGGTCCTGTCAGACCGACTGATCTGTATGCTAAGTGTTAGTACAAACACGCTCTGATTTTGTGCATATATTGTAATGATACAAAATTTTGATGCCGTAGATTCTGCTGGGCCTCTGTACACGTTGTAGGTATCTGTAAGCAGCATTAGCATAGTATACTTCTGTACAAACACATCAGGCCCCTTAGCACTGGGGGACTATGTCTTGCTGCAATGGCTGATGGCACGCTGCAATTGCTGCTTCTATGTCAGCAATTAGTTAGTATTAAAGGCTTAGGCCTAGGGTGGTGCGAGCCATTGTAAGGAAATATACCAGTGCTATTGGCAAGTTGCACTTGATGCCAGCATTCCAAATGATCGGACTCACATCACCCTTGTCTCGTTATCTCTGAAGATCATCCTGATCTGACAAAGAACTGAAGACAGCATGCGAGGACTTGACCTGAAATGCGCAAACTAGTGACAACCACTTTGCACGAAGAATCTCTCAGGAACAGACAGGGCATGTACACGCGCCAACAGTCCTGCTCTGTATACATATAGTACATGAGTTACATGCGTCACTGCTATACCTCAACAGTGAATACTGTCAATCAAGGAAAGAATTCTTATCAACTCTCAAGGAGTTTGGCAACATGGTCGCCAATGCTTAGCGAGGCAGTAAGCCCAGGTGACTCAATGCCAAAGAGGTTCACGAGTCCTGCAATGCCATGGTCTGTGGGTCCCTGGATGAGAAAGTCTGCATTCTTCTCACCAGGCCCACTGATCTTCGGTCGAATCCCTGTTTCCCACACAAACACACCTCAGTCTGCCAGCTTGCCTGTGACCCCAGCAAATCTCCAAATTGTCCTGTGCATTGCAAAGTAGTGTGCAGGGTATGCACTGTCAAAAGTCATTGCAGATTGAACATGCCAGGATGTCATGCACTTGCCTGAGTAGCTGGGCTGCAGTGCGCCGTCAGGCAGCCCCGGCCAATAGTGCCTGATCTTGCTGTAGAAGTTTTCAGCCCTCTTTGGGTCCACTGTGTAATCTATGCTGTCCACCCACTCCACATCTGGCCCAAACTTGGCCTGATTGGCCAGGTCCAATGTCAGATGTGCACCCAGGCCGCCGTTTTCTGGCATGGGGTAGATAAGATGCCGGAAGGGTGACTTGCCTGTAAGGCACACATACTGTTCACACCGATGGAGCTCAGCACTGCTGCAAAACAATCGACAGTGCGTATGCAGAGAATAGCCTGGCATAGACTGGACTGCACAGGAGGTGGAGAGCCACCCTTACTGATAGTGCGTTTCCTCAGTCTGCAGTCATGTCTCCCTGATTGAATGTTTCAGCAAGCGTGCAGAACCATCGGGAGAGCTTCTTTAGATGGCAGAGCAGCATACCAGAGAGTATGAAGTAGCAGCCACGGGCCAAGTAGCGCTTGGGGACGTGGTCCTGTGGGAAGTCTGAAAAACTGGCAGCCACTTGTTGCGCCTGCAGCCCTGCCGCGTTGATGATGACGTCAGTGGTCAGCGCGCTAACCTCCCCGGTCTTGCTGTCTCCAATTTGCAGTGTTTTCTTTGTACCTGACCACAGATTGCCCAGCTTCAACTGTGTTCACAGACCGTGGTCTGAGCACACTGCAGAGAAAGGCCCAATAGATCAACAGCAGGTCAATGCAGCCACACATGCAACAAATGGCGACTTGCAAGTTGCAGTCAGGATATAAACAACCCCTGAGTGCTGACAGACCTGACACAGTACCGCTGAGCATGCTGCTATTCAGGGCCACGGTAGCACCGTTCCTTTCTGCATCGCTCTGGTAAGCCAGCATCAGCCTGCTCCAATTGCTCATCATCATCAATGGGTGGTCTTAATCACAACATGCAAATGCAGACATGATCACTATTTCTGTTCCTCCATTCTTAGAGTTTCAGTAACGAGCAGACTGGGCACAGAAAGCTGAGCTGAGCAGGGGAAATGCTCACTGATGGCTGTCGACAATTCCAGTCATTGGTGACCAAAGCGCAGCCACACATCGCAGCGCTGGTTCCCTTGCCTTTGCCTCACTCTCTTCCAGCCACTCAAGCTCCACCTGCATTCACATGCCTACCTTAACTATCAACTTTCAGGGTTTCCCTGGGCCTGATCCGCAGGCAATATACTGCACAAGCAACATGCTTCAAAGTTGATTCCTTGGCACATCAGGTAATTTACCCCATTTCTCAGTGCGGTCTCCTTGTAGCGCCGCAAATCATCAAGCTGTGATTCATCGGACGCCACAAGAATCTTGCCAATGCATTTGTAGGGCACATCGTGCGCCTCACAGTAGTCATAAATCCGATTGCGACCCTCCACACAAAGTTTGGCTTTCAGGCTTCCTGGTGGATAATAAATGCCTGTCACACATGCACAGAGTCTCTGACATTTGCCCATCCTAAAATTCTTCCTCATTGGTACTTTTTGCTTGGCTTGGCTTGAAGTGTATTTATGACAGATTGTTACCACCTGCATGGATCACCTCACTGTTTCGTGAGCTGGTCGATGTGCCAATGGCGTCTGCAGACTCCAAGATCACCACCTCTCTCCCCTGTTCAGCCAAAGCCCTAGCAGCTGCTAAACCAACAACTCCTGCGCGAAAACCACAAAGGCCTCTCCGTAAAATATCTGAAGAATGTAGTGATACTTAATGTATGCCGACATGGGTCCTGAGAAGCCGATTTAATATAGGTGCGATCTGTCCAAAATGCATGGGTGGCTGGTTCACCTGCTCCTATAACGACAGCACCTACGCTGGGGGTCTCAATCGAAGTACTGATAGCACGTAGCGGTAGACTCCGTGCTCTGAAGGGGATTCGAAGGGATTGAGTGACGACCTTACAGGCGAAGACAGGAAAAACAGATGCCATGGTTGTAGATACATCAGTCTCGTGGATGACCTCAACACTACATAGTAAATCTGAGGATTGCAAAGAATAACTTGGACCGACCTGTTCACAATCTGGACTTCAATTACCTTGCAACTCGTCTTCCCTTGTCCCCTTTCCAACGTTTCTGATGACGTCATCAAACGTCATGCTTTACTCCTCTCCTTGCAATTTCAATTGAAGCGAGCTGTCTAAATACGGTAAAGATATTTGTGGTCCGTGAGTCAACTCAGTCCAAGCTCACGCATCTTCTGCTCTATGACAGCAACATCCTCCGGCTCGTCCACACCATGCGCCTTGTGGTCCACCACAATGACTTTGATCTTGTAGCCGTTCTCCAGCACTTTGAGCTGCTCCAGATCCTCCATCAGCTGCACAAGCACAAGCAGCAACTGAGCCGGTCATGTTGCAACGCTCACAGCCACCTCAAGGCTCTGGTACCCCTCAAAAACAGCGGGATGGTGCAGCTGCCTAGTGGGACCCTTCTCAGACAGGAGGCAAGGGCAGCTTCAAGCATGATGCATAGGAGGGCTTGGGGTAGAGATGTCACCATGAGGGGCGTGGGGGGCATGCGGCAGTACTGTGCCAGGAAAGCGCGGTCAAAGCAGGCGAGGCCCAGGTGCAGCAAGTAGGGCTGGTGCTGGAAGGGGGCCGGGAAGGGTCTGACTACGCCATCCTTGTTAGCCGGCAGCATGCCTCGCGAAAAGTACATTGCATGGCCGTCACAATCCACGATGCACTTGACACGGGTCCGATGCTCCACATGCTCATGCTCCAGCGGAGTGCAGGCAGTGCTGCATACATATAAATCCACATCAGACCTGAATAATGAAAGGTCTCCTGTCGAGTGCTGCAAAGAGCTTGCCAGCACTGAGTTCATCTTGAATCAGTAGCAGCAACAAGTGGCTGTTGAGAGGTGGCAAGTAAGGCTGCAGCGTGCCTGTATACGGACGTTGGGGAGTTCTGAAGTGCCCGTACGCAGTCGTCGATTATTTGGGGTTCAATCAGCGGCTCATCTCCCTGGATGTTTATGACAATATCGTACTCTCCAAGCAGCTTGGTCACCGCCTCATGACACCGCACTGTACCTGCATCCATCGCTCTCCTCCATCTGAGTCCAGTCTCTTTCCAGAAGTCCCTTCCAACACAGCATGCAGGATCTTGCAAGTGTCTTCTTGGAGAATATCACCATTGGGGCACTCGCTGCTGGTCATGACTACTTCTGCGCCGGCGTCACGGCACGCACTGGCAATGCGCTCGTCGTCAGTGGCCACCACAACCTTTTGCAGGGTGGTAGCCTTGCTGGCTTGCTCCCAGGTGCGCACCACCATTGGCTTGCCCAGGATGCTCACCAAGGGCTTCCCAGGAAAGCGCACCGACTGGTATCTGGCTGGAATCACGCCAACCTGTGCAGAACAGGTAAGCCACATCGGTGATCTGGCCCATCCTGGACCTTTCGAGCAGAGTAAGCAGGAGGGTGATCTGCGTTTCAACGCACCACTCGCAGGCGCTTTCGCTGCAGAAGACCTCTCTTCCATTTCCAAGCAACTGCCAGTGCACTACCCAGCGCCAATGCAAGAGCTGCGAGCCCCCTCATCTCTGCAAGCGTGTGTGAGATGGCTACATTTCCAGACCCACTTCACCCAACCTTGCCTTTTCCTGCTGATTAGTGATGCAGGTTGATTAGTGATGCAGGACACTTTATAAGGATCTTGATTAAATGACGACAAGTCTGAGTCTATATCGCTTTAATAATTGGAAGGACCACGGTGCAAGATCTGAGTTGTTGTCATGTATTTGCACTGATCACCAGCTCTTAGCCACATTGTGATATCTTCGATTCTGTAATGGAATCAACAGCAAATATCAAGACGTTGTGACCAATCATCCAGAAACGCATCGGCTTGAGATCGTCACTTCTCGCATGGTGGAAGCTACACGACACGCCGTCGGATGGGCGACATGGGGTTCTTCACTACGCGCGAACTTGCAGCACTTGTGACCGGCCGAAGTGCTTGCAAAGGACTTTGGTTTGAGAGGTTGTCATCGTTGCTTGGAGCTGATCTGCTCGCATGCAGCATCTTTGAGGGTGGTACACGCTCAGTAAGAGATTGGTGAACATCTGAAAGTGCAAGTGGGAGCAGCAGGGCCGGCGCACGCAGATTATTATGTTTTCTTCGGAGAAGCAACCTTTGAAGTCATCAACGGTGATCACCCTCGGCCCAGACAAGCAGGGTTTAGGAGGCACCTGCAGCATCATGATGGCCGCAAGGCAGCTCAAATACTGGTTCAGGAAACACAGCTTCTGAGCTGTACTACTCGTGGAATATGTCATATCTGCTAGTATGGAGTGTTTGTGCTTTCACTTATCGTTCAGAGCCTGACAGACGCTAACCTGAACCTGCAGGACGAAAAGGCTCACAAGGCCCTGACCGACCTATCAGCTTCCCTAGGGTATGCGAACATCCCCTTCTACTTGTTGCAAATAAGTATCATCATCATAGCATCAGATCCTGATGAAAAGACATGAAATACATCTGCACATGTAGACCCTCAAAAGAACATCCATGAACCGATATCCTGAAGGGCACAAGGAGACTCAGATACAGGTCGCGAAGACATCAGGAGACTTAAGCTTGTATTGATAACATCTCTGTCCTCTGCAGAGATGAGGAGAGCCCTTACCTGTCAGCAAAGGGGCCTGCCTCGGGGGGACCCCCAACTCTGGGCGAGCGGGTCTGGAAGGAGCTGAAGCAGAATTGGTGGCTGTGGGGCTCTGTCGTCTTTGCCATCCTGCTGGTTGGGGGCCTGGTGCTGTTCCGCAACCAGCTCTACGACACTGCCTCCCACGGCCTCCCCTTCCTGGCAGGTGAATGAAGCTCCCCACCCAAAGCCCAGAGCTATGTAGACAAATGGATGAGTGTTGTTGCTCTTGATGTCTCCTTAGAGAAAGAGAAATGCAGACACCGTAGCAGGGGAGAGCCAGTGAGTAAGGAGGAAGGGCTGCCTCACGGTGTTTAGTCTCCTTCAGGGTGCATAGCATCTGCATGTTTGTGGACGTGATGATCAAATGCAGTGTATTCTGTGGTGTCAGCTGGCGTGCCTGACCTGTGTTGGATATGCTGCAGTGAAGGAGAATGCGGCTGAGGCGTGCACCACAGCTTGCAAGGAGGAGCAGATTGCAGGCCAGGCGCTGGCTGCCGGCGCGGGAGGGGACAAGGATGCTGACAATGCGCGCCTAAAGGAAGCCTTTGACTCCTGCTACACCAAATGCGTCGCGCAAGAAACCAAGGATGTGGCTGAGGAGCGCCAGAAGGTGTGGATCTTACCTGTCCTAAACCCAAGTTCCTCATAGTTCTACCCTTGCATCCTAAAGCCCGTCACCCACCTGAGAAGGCAACTGCTCCTGGGTGGCTCTTATATGACCATTGTTTTCCAGTCTCCTGGCCTCAACAGTTCATTTGGATTGTTGAGATCAGGGAAACTTCATGAGTGTGAGTTGGGCTTTCTGTGAGATTTCTTTGGCTGAAAATTGGTACCTGTATGTGCAGTTCAAGAAGACTGAGGAAGACTTTGAGAAGATGGTGGAGGGCAAGGAGGTCTCAGGAACTACCGGCTGACAGCATTTATGTTATTGGGCACTTCTGCATTGTGCTTCTGCCATTTTATTGTCACCGTTCAGCCAAGATGATTATGGGACTGTGTCCCACCAGCAGAATACTTAAGGATGCCCATGCGTGGCTATTGCTTGGAATTTTCTGAGGCAAGGGAGATCTTGAGATTCTTAAACAGTGTCTGTATGATTTGATCCGATGGCATGAATATATGACATAATGCAGTGCAGTGCCTTAAAATGTGTTGCCAAAATACATAACGCGATATCTTCGTACGTCTCACCATACAGGCTTGGTGAAGTTGGTGACTTGCAAAACCATGTCCCTCGAAGTCGAGGAGCTCTTGTTCTCATCTCTATCCTTTCCTTGCTGTACACCGGCATGACAACACCTATGCCATTGTTCTCTTGAGTGCAATATGCTTCTGCAGGAACCCATACTGCACAAAGCTCTCAGAACCCAAAGTGCAACACACACCTCCCAGCCACACATGCAATGCAAGGCTTCAGGTATGGATGTTCTCTTTGTTGGCCAGTGGCCGCTTTGAGTGGTCCGCCTGCGAGGCACGCCCCTTGATTTTCGCCACCTCTGCTGCCAGCTGCGCCTTTTCAGCCTCCAATCCAGCAATCTGAGCTGTGGCCTTCTCCCGCAGTGACTGCACAGCACCCCATAATCAACATTGGGAAGATGCTATTCTGACAGACTCCCCATGCATTGATGACATGGAATAAATCAGGTGACTCGTTTCCTGACTGGATAAGTATGTGTCATTACCTGAACACAAGACCAATGAGCCTCAGGTGGCTAGCTATGAACAGGTCTGTAAAATGTAATAATAATATGTGCCATTACCTGGATGTCCCTGTTGGCGCGATTAGTCACAAAGTCCAGCTCGTACTCCAGTCCCCTCACATCACGCAGGTTGTCAAACACCCTGCAGCGTGCAGCGTGCCAACATCACACCACCGCGCACATTTAGCAAATCAGAGATGTTTCCGGGAAGTGCCAAACCTTCTGCATTTTAGCACCTCCGCACAGCCATGTGCTGGTCATAGCATGCGGCATAATACTCTCAAATGACGGATACCTGAAAAGGACTACCATGAGGGAAAAGTGGTATAAAATTAGCAGTGGAAGGGGTCACACTTTTCTCAATTATACTAAGAGCTATTTGGTATTGCACCACCTGATTGCATGCATTTTGAGCCAGAACGGTATTACAAATGCCAATGTAATTGGACGGAATGCAAACTTGTGATATAAAGATGGGCAGTGGACGACTGCCCACCAGACCAATGAGGCTCAGGTGGCTCCCAACAGGTCAAAATGATGTGGTAAAGATAAAATCAAATTTCTGTCCCCCGTGAATACGGTGAAGGAGGTGATCTGTACCGGGTATCTCCGCCGCAGGTCTTGAGGTCGTCGCGCAAGCGGAACTGCAGCGCCGTCAGTTTCTCCTCACGCCGCTTGCTGCGCCGCAGCTCCGTCTCTAGCGCTGCCACGCGCTCAGCCGCCGCCTGCGCCCACATGACAACATTGTTTTCAGCGAGATGACAACAATTTCTTACCTAACAAAGTGAGGAAGCCAGCGAGCCAGCCATCTGTACAAGTCTAGCACATCATAGGACACCGTCAAAGCCTGCCTCTAGGGTGCATGCTTTGTGAAGGGAGATGAAGCAATACATTAGAGGCACTGCGATCGCCAGGGCAGGGAGAAAGGGCTGCCCGCGATGCATGCAACGTGCAGGGTACCTCCGGCCCAGGGGAACGCTTTTGGCCATTGCGCTATTGTCAACATCTTCTTTAATAACAAGAAAAGGGATGGGTTCTGGTCAAACGACGGCAGACTGGCTGAGGGTGATCACCTGTGCGCTGGGGCCGCCGGGGGCCCTGGCGGCTGCGGAGAGGGACCGGTTTTCCTCGGCGAGCTGGTGCAGGCGTGATTCCAGCCCCTGGATCTTGCTGTGCAGCTGCGCCACCCGCCGCTCCGCCGCCTCGCGCACCTGAGCCACCTGCCAGCACATGTCCACCTCAGTATTTTGCCAGGATCAACGCAGTGAGTGCTCAGACAAACGAACACCATGCACCTGCAATGCAAACATGGCTACTGACATGCTGACACAGAAGGCCTTCTCTTTCACAGCTGATGGAATCCACAGTCCACACCGACAGGAAGAAAGGCTTGCTTCATATTGAAAATTTCTCAATTTTGCGCAAGACATGAGAACCTGGAGCAAAGCCGGTGATCTCCGTGTACTTCCTATAATCATTTGGTCTTGTTGGACAGTTCAAGCAGAGCTGGCCAAGTCATGTGCACAGTGTGTAATCCAGAGTGCCAACCTGGGAGTCCAGCGCATCGCTGGGCTGCAGGCGCAGGGTGCAGGTCTGCTCCAGCTGCCGGTTGAGGCCGTCCAGCTCAGCGCGCAGCCGTGCCACCTCATCCCTGTGCACATGCGCCGCCTCCACAGACGCCTTCGCTTCTGCTCTGGCCGCCACCAGCTGAGCCTCCGGCACTCTTGCCCCCTAAACCCCCACAGCCAACATACATGTCATGCCCCGGTCACCACATCCAGCCACAAAATCATGGTCAGGCAGGTGCAAAATGCCTGACGTGCTCATATGGTACAATATATGTGAAGGGCAATGCGGACAGTTTCAAAGCTGCAAGAAAGCTGACCCGCGTCATGCCCCTGCCCTTGAACATCTCCAGCTGCTCATCTGCTGCTAAACATGCACTGTGCCTCACATGCTCGAGTGATGCAAAAGAAGACACATGCAGAGCTTTTTTATGCGAAACCCCACTTGAGGCTCCCTTGCAGACGCAAGGCAGTTCCCTCTTGGTTTTGGCTGAGGCTGCATATAGAGACAGGTGTTGTGGGAAGCGCACCTGCGCCTGCAGAGCAGTCCGCAATTTGGCCACCTCCTCCTGGTGGGCGCTGCTGAGCCTGGCGCACTCCTGCTCGGCCCTCTGCGCTCCCGCCTGCGCTGCCGCAACCTCTCCCTGCCACGCACCTCTAAGTGTCATCAGACTGCCTTGCCCAATACAAGAGCCATGACCCCCTTTGCTCAATGACCTGGGGCTGATGAATGTACCGGTTGTGTAGCTGACTCTCTGACTGCCAAGCACAGCTGTGGTCTGAGTGAAGGGGGGCCCGTACATGTACGTGAGTCTCTGACAGCCGAGAATTGCAGTTTATGTAATACTTTGGACCCTGAGGCCTCAGATGACCTGATGACCTGAGGGGGGCATTTATGGCAGCATATGTAAACCATGTAAAATGTGTATATGAAGGTGTAAAACGTGTAAAATGCAAAGACAAGGAAGACCAGATGGGAATTATTGAGAGGTGGCTGCAATGACGTAGCTCTGAGGGCTGAAACAAGCTTGTAGTAAGATTATACTGCTAATAATAATAATAGTGCCTCTTGGCAGGGAAAGCGTTTAATAATAAAAATAACAATTATTAAAAATAACAATAATAATAATAATACTAATGTGCAAGGAGGGGGCCCCAGTAGGGCCCCCCCAGTTGTGTGAGGCCGCCCCACACCTGCAGTCTGGTGATGAGGGCCTCAGAGCGCTGCTGCGAAGCAGCCAGCTCGGAAGCGCGGTCGGCGCCCTGCAGCGCAGCCGCGCGCGCCTCGCCCAGCTTGCTGCGAGCGTCCTCCAGCTGCGTGGCCAGCTGCGCCTGCGCCGCCGCCGCATGGCCGCGCTCCTCCGCGATCGCGTGCTCCTGCTCCGCCTGCGCCAGATTGGCAAGCACCCCGTCATCATCACCCATCTATCAGACTTGCTATGAATCCAATAGCAATATTCAATTAGTTATCACCCTTGACATGCACCCCGGCAGCTGCCAGGCCCCAAGGTATGTGCCCTCACCAAGCCCTGCAGTGTGTACCAAGATTCGGCGGGGATTAAACACGTACTTTGTCCGGCTTAGCAACTAGCAAGGTCTGTGCAGGAATTTCCAGGAGGTTCCCACAAGAACAATTGAAAGGAGCTGTATGCTGATGCACTGGTTTGGGGTTGGCCGTACCTTGAGTGCGGCGAGTGCCTGGTCGGTGGCGGCCCCGGCTCCGGCGCGCAGGACCTCGGCCTCGCGCTCGGCCGCGGCCGCCTGCGAACGCGCGCCGTCCAGCGCTCGTGCCGCCTCCAGCTGCGCCGCCGCGCCCTTACGGACCGCGTCCTCCAGCTCAGCCTCCAGCTTGCTCACCTGGGCTCAGAAAGCGTCCACTTGTGATGTGAGCTACCAGCATCCATTGCACGAATTATAACATGCAGCTGTCAAATCAAGGAACTTGGAATTGCAGGAAGTAGCGAAAGGAAGCCATGCAGTACCAGGCGCGGTCCCCTGCATGGGCTGGTAAAGGTGCAGCGGGGGCAATATTTTGTTCTAGTTGCACACTTCCTACAAGAGGCTCAGACATTTAATATTGTGTGAGCAGTAAAGGGATGCACCTTGTGGACAGCATCTTCGTGCAGGATGCGCTCCTGCTGCAGGGCCGCCTCCAGGTCTGTGAGCCCCTGCCGTGCAAGGGCGGCCTCCTCCTCTAAAGCTTCTAGCTTGGCCCTCTCGGCGCGCAGCTCAGTCTGTGCCCTGCTCATGCTCTCCTGCAGAGCCTGCAGCTGTGCACGCGTTGCCGCAAGTTGCTCATCGTGAGCCTGCGCAGCTTGCTCGCCGTCGCTGCTGGCTTCGTCCAGGGCCGCCCGCAGCTGCTGCTGCTCCGCGCGCGCCTCCTCCAACGCCGCCTGCATGCCATGCTAGATTAGTGGCGCTATAGTGTGTCACTGCTGTGGCACCTCAAGGCTACTTTGGTGTAGTCCAGGCTCCAAGTGGGCTGGAGGGTGTGAAAGGGCAGGCAGCTGCCAGCCCTATCAAGTCTGCAGCATGCACATTGCAATGCTGGACACTAAGGCAGCCGCTTGACCTCGTCCACATGGAAGCACCTGATAGCCTGGGCAAGGGTGCAAAGAGACTCCGTGTATCCCCTTCAAGGTGCTTTTAAGATTGCCACACTTGAATAACTGGACAATTCACTGCATGCACCACCAACCTGCAGCTGGCCGTGCTGCGCCTCGGCGCGCTCCGCTTGTGCGGCCATGGCGTCGCGCAACGCCTCGGCCGTGCGCAACCCCTCCTGCTGCGCGTCAGCCAGCTGCTCCGTCAGCTCGGCCACCGTCGCGCGCGTTCCCTCCAGCTCACCCTCAGCCGCCTGGCGCACCCACACAACACCCCCGCTGTCAGCCACCCTTGTCGACCACAAACAGCAACACTCGCATGCGGAGGGTTCCTTACCTACACATCCTTGACAGCCGAGAGATATGGAGCGATGCTGGGTGAATCATCCCCCTTTCTTGCCATGCACTGATCAGGAGAGACATAAGCAGAGACTGCCAGCAAGGGGTGTGACACAACCATGCTTCACTGTG